TTGGAAGGAGGGGGAAGGGAATAGATTTTTTTTGCTAATTGGAACATGAATTAGCTTGGTCCTATTTTGTAAAAGTAAAAAAAGAAGAGTTAGCTTGTTGCGGAAACCATAAATGTATTATATGAGTAATACTACACTCACTAACACTTCTTACAAACTTTCTCTCACAAACACAATATGTCAGCTCGCAATTGGTTCGCTCGCATGTATCCGGCCTAACCAAGCCAATTGCGAGCTGTTACATCGAATTTGTGAGAGAGTGTTTCTGAGAAGTGTTTGTCAAACTATCTTTATTTGTACTATATTCACCAAGACATTTCCCGAGGTTTGAATATCAACTCTAATAGAACGGTTAATTTCACACTTTAACGTTGTTAGTATATTATAAGTTATGATGTGACAAGTGACAGGCTGGTGTTAGGTCGTTTGCCCTGCCAGTTCTCAGAAGTATGAAGTAGCTTCTTCTTATTATAATTGTTCCATATTTCTTTTTCTAGATCAAAAGTGTAAAACTCTTTGCCTGTTTTAATTGCATGCATGCTCAAAATGTGCAGCTTATCTAAGTTTGCTTTAAATATCTTTCGTTCCGTTTCTAAATCCAGGACATTCCTGAGTATCTAAAGGGATGTAGGTTTCTCCCAAAACTTAACAATGAACTTGCTGACAAAAGAAATTCCACTTATAAGGAACGTTTTTCTAGCTTGGAGAATTTGGTGCTTATCATGGTGAGTTCACGAGTTATTGTTTTTCCTCTAACATTCCTTGGCCCTGTGGATATGATTGGTGATTCTTCTCTTTCTTTGCATGCATGACTCAGTTTGAGCAAGACACGGTTTTGATACCCAAGGAAACTTCCTGGTTTGGGTATTATCCAGATGGGTCCTTTGACACTATTTTATCTGCACAAGAGGTAATGTATTTTATCAGTGACTGGCTGCTGAACATGATAAATTCAGCATATTTCCTGGTTTCAAAAGACAATAATAATAGTACAGGCAATGGAAATTTCTTGACCCGAAAACAAGAAGATAACAATTTCTCCCATATTTTTTGTAATTTTTGTGATATATGTGCAGACCCCACTCTATATCGACGACTGGATTGGTTTGAAAACCTTGGATGAGGCTGGGAAAGTTAAATTCATAAACGTTTCTGGGAATCATCTTCAGATCTCTCGAAGTGATATGAAGACATACATAGTTCCTTACTTGAAAGACCAAACATCAACAACAAAGCTGATGATAACAGAATCATCTTAATCTCATAGATGGCTTTCATCAATATGGAACTTCTTTGTTAATCTTGCTGGGTTCAGTGAGGATCAACATTTGCTATGGGTTGTTTCCTAGATGAAATCCCTTTTCTGAACGAGGATGCACAGTGTGTCACTATTTTTTCAGTTTCTCTTGAATCATTACGGACTGTCACATCTTGATTCCTGTGTCTGCTCATTGATGATTTTTTATTGGTGTAAATGGTTGGAAGATGACAAAAAGTTGATTTTACTTACTGTTTACTGTCATATTTTGTGTCTGCACCCATTTTGCTTTGGAATTAATATCATTTTGCATTTTCGCACAATGTTCTCAAATTCTTAAGGGAGCGTTTGGTTGGAGTTAATAGAAAATTATTGGGTTATACCATCTTATATTATTTGAATATTATATTTGATTATCAAGTAATATAAGATTATGGTAATCTTGCATTATCAATAATTGTTATTGTTAATAATATTAAAGGTAATCTTATTATCTCTATTTTTTTTTTAAGTATGGTAAGATTACCTTGATAATCTTATTTTTATTACAATTCTATCGTTTATTAATAAAAAGTTTAGATAATATTGTCCCTATTTTAAAATAAATTTACATTAATATACCATTTCAATTTTACCTTTGTTTAATTAAGTTTTTGAATAATAATACCTTTATATTTAAAACAAATTATAGACCACCACTGTCACCCAGCCACCATCGTCGACAGTGGGCCAACCGTCACAAACCACCGTCGGAAAGTTATCGGAGTTCCTAAAAATGATCGATATTCGCTGGGAGGCTCCGGGAGGCTTCAATATGGTCATTTCCGACCATATCAGGCCAGATTCCTAGCCTTTAGTGGTCAGATCTAAGCGAGATCTAGCCGATAATGGCCAAGGATCTAGCCATTAACTGCCAGATTTGGCCTGATATGGCCCTTTTCGACCATCAATATGGCCAAAAAACGGTCATATCGGAGCCTCGTGGTCACGGTGAGCTACTCACGACGGCTTTCGAAGACTTCCAGCGGTGGTTTGCAGTGGCGGTAGGCAGTTGCAGGGGGTGGGGGTGATTTCGTCATAAATTAAAGTTTTATATAAGCGGAGTGTTTTTGCTAAATCTGAAATATTGAGGGTTAAATGAAATTATTCAAAAATTAATAATAAAAATAATATTATATTAATATTTAAAAAGAGGACAATTTAGTTATTTAAATAACATACCCACCAATTTATTCCCCCTAATCAAACATATTAATATAACATACTTACTAACTAACCAAACACATTTTCCTAAAGATTCTCAGTAATCTTCAAGGTAATATCAGATTCCAGTAATCCAACATTGTCCCTAATCGTTTTGATACAATATTAGCTTAACCCCTACATTCTGGGGAAATACACTTGACCCCTTTGTCTTGGTAAAATATTTATTGACCCTTATTCTCGTTAAAATACCATATTGACCTCTACTTTTTGGTAAACTAACAATTGGTCCCTATGAGTAAAATATCAGTTTGTACTACCTGTTTTGGTACATAATTAGCTTGACCCCTTTATTTTTGCATGATATCGTTACAACTAATGTTTTAATAACCAACCCGAGGTAAAACCCAACAAAGTGGTTGGGTCTCAAGTTAACTGGTTTAACCAGCAGGTCAAACCGATGTCCAAAAGTTTAAAATACAATAAAAACACCCCTAAAAATTACATATAAGTTCCTACAATTTTAAAATCTCACAAAAACACCTCAAACACCACCATCAACGTCGACAAACCAAGGCGAATAAGGTTTGTTTCCAACGATGACAACATTCCCCATCTCCACAAAAACACTCTCCTCAGCCTCCTAACCAAAACCATATCACCCCTCCCCCGATTGCCTCACCAATCGACAACAACAACCAGCTATTGCCGCCGATTTAATTTTGCGATTTTCGGTCGATTCACTCACTGAAAATCACCTCTGTCGGCAACATTGCACTCACCAACCATTCTTCTTCAAAAGCCCCAATATGCCGGCCTTCAATTGTTCGCTAATCACCATCCCAATTTCTAGGATTTTCGGTGAATAGGAAAATTGCTAACCCAACCCGATGAAGGCCCCGAGTCTTAATTGAACCGGTTTAACTGACTGGGCTGGGTTTTAAAACACTGGTCACAACTACTAAATTTTTCATTGTATCGATTATATATCACTTTGACACCTCAATGTTTTCTTAAAATCTCACTTTTGGTGGAACAGATTCCTTCACTTCTATATTGAATTGAAAGCTCTTTGCATGGGTGGGTGGCTGATCGAGAGAAATCTTTTTATTTATCAATGGCGAAACAACAACAGTTTCTTTGGCGTTCAATAGACCGAAAATGCCTTTCTCTGCTTGGGGGTACCCGCACAAGAAATTCTCTCTTCCAAACCACGCTTTTATGCTTCGTAACGCCATCGAAACAAATGTTAAATTTTCGCTAAATCGCGTACCTGTGCTCCACTCGCTGGTATCCTTTACGCACGGCGCATGTTCGATCAGCTTCATAGAGACGACACTTTCCTTTGTATTCTATGATCAAAGCGCATGTGAATAGCCCAATTAGCTGAATCTTTCACTCTTATGACACTTAGGAGATACACGCATTTATTCCGATAATTTTACGTTTATTGCGTTGGCGAAGTGTTGTAGTTTCAGAATGCGTGTTTGGGAAGGTTTGCAATTGCACAGTCATATTGTAAAAATTGGATTTTTCGTAGATTTGTATGTGTCAACTGCATTGGTCGATATGTACACGAAATACGGGAAAATGGGTTGGGCCAAAAAGATATTTGATGAAATGACTGATAGAGTGTAGTGTCATGGACAGCTCTCATTTCTGGTATGCGAGGTCTGGTGAGATGGCTCAGTGCGAAGAAACTTTTGATGAGATGTCAGAGACGGAGAGAGGAGACTCTGCTGTGTATAATGCAATGATTGATGGTTATGTTAATTAGGAATATGGTTTCGGCTCGAAGTTTGTTTGATGAGATGCCATAAGGAATGTGATTTCTTGGACTAGTATGATTTATGGATTTTGCACAAATGGTGATGTTATAGCTGCTAGGTCTTTTTTGATAACATGCCAGAGAAGACCCTGATTTCTTGGAAGTGATGATGGTGGTGATATTACCAGAATAAACACCCCATGAAGCGTTGCATGTGTTCCATGAACTGCAAGCAAGTAGACTATTTGAAACCTAATGAGTAACCATTGTAAGCATTCTTCCAGCTATTGCTGCCTTGGGTGCTTTGGATTTGGCGGTTGGGTTCACCAGTTTGTTCAGAGGAGGAAACTTGACAGAGCAACCAATGTGTGTACTGCACTTGTTGATATGTATGCAAATGTGGTGAAATCACGAAAGCAAGAAGAGTTTTTGATGAAATGCCCGAAAAAGATATATCTTCTTGGAATGCTTTGATAAACGATATGCTGTCAATGGACGTGCCAAGGAAGCATTGGAGGTTTCTTGGAGATGATGCAGGAAGCAATCAAGCCAAATGATATAACCATGATTGTGTTTTGTCTGCATGTAACCATGGTGGTTGGTGGAAGGGAAGAGGTGGTTTAAAGCAATGGAGGAGTTTGGGCTTACCCCAAAATTTTGCTCATTATGGTTGTATGGTAGTCTATTAGGGGGGCAGGATGCTTGGAGGAAGCTGAAAAGTTGATCCATAGTATGCCTATTAGGCTAATGGGATAATTCTAGTTCTTTTCTATGTGCTTGTGGGAACTCAAAGGATGTTACAAGGCTGAGAGAGTGTTGAACAAGGTTATTGATATGGGCCATGGAATGATGGAACTATATCATATTGAGAAATTTGTATGCACAGAGGAAAGATGGAGAGATGCAGAGGAAATTAAGGTCTGATGGAGCAATGGGGTAAAAAAAGAAGTAGGCTGTAGTGTTTTGAGGTTGATCGTAGGGTTCAAGAGTTTCAATGTGGAGATAGAATTCATCCACAGGGAAGTGATGGAGTCGATCTCAAGGCAATTCTGGACACACTGAAGGGATGGACAGCTATCTATTTGTAAATTTTGAACTTGCTGATGAAGAAGATTCGGCAAAGGTACATTCAAGAGATGTATTGTGATAGCCCTCCAATATGCAATCAAACTGAAGGCTACAGATCTCAGTAAGAAGGCTTTATGATGAAAGGAAGGGCCGGAGGGGGGAACTGTAATGAAAGAGAGAAATATTTGCCTTTTCAATTGTATTTTATTGAATTGGGGAGCGTAGCTTTATCACAAAGTTTTCCTACAATCATGCTAGTCTATCAAGTAGTCTAATATAAAAGACAACAATACTCCTACAATCTGCTAATCTATTCTAGGTAGTCTAAGTATGAAAGACAATTAACAATATGCAATTAATACAATATATTTGTCAATGAATGAGCAGATATCATTGACCTTTCCTTCTCAACCACTCCCCTCAGTTGGAGAGTGAATGTCAAGAACTCCCAACTTGCGTATCATAGTTGAGAAAGCTTCCTTTCCCAATGGCTTTGAACACATCCGCAAGTTGATTTGTTGGGCAATATGTTGGTTACAACTGAACCATCTTGTATTTGTCACGAATAAATGGCAATCCATCTCTATATGTCTGTTTCTTTCATGGAAAACGGATTGGCAGCTATATGTAAGCGGCTGTGTATCACAATATAACAATGCTGGCTTTGGATGCAATATTCTCAAATCTTTTAATAATGAGCGTAGCCAATAATTCACAGCAGTATATTGTCATGACTCATATCAGCTTTTGCTGAGAAAGAGATACGGTTTTGTGCCTCTGGTCCGCCAGGAAATAAGAGAAGATCCCAGAAAAACACACAATAACCCGTAGTGATCTATGAGATATTGGACAACTAGCCCATCCGAATCAAAAAAAGCTCGCAAAGATAAATCATTTTGAGAAGGAAAACAAACCTTGCCTTGGACTGCTTTTCAAATAACGCATACACGCAAGGCAGCTTTCATGTGTGTCTCTGTGGTGCTCATGATTCTACTTAACACATGGACCGAATAGGTGATATCCGGTCGGGTAATAGTCAAATAAATTAGGCGTCCATAAGTCGCCTATACTGAGACGATCTTTAAGCAATTCACCTGAATTCGAAAGCTTTATGTTTTGTTCCATGGAAAGTTCACAGGTTTAGCACCCAAAAATCCTCCATCTTTTAAAATTTCCAAAGTATATTTTCGTTGCGAGATGGAATACCTCTCTTCGACCAAGAAACTTCGATGCCCATAAATATTTCAAATCACCCAATCTTTTATCCGAAAAACTAGTAGAATTGCTTGCGAGCTAGTATGGCATGACATCATTACCCTTAATAAGAATGTCATCAACATATATCAACAAAACTGTAAAAGTTTTGCCTTTCCGACATGTAATAATGAGTACTCTACTTTGGATTGAACAAAGCCAGTAGCTTGGTAGCTGTAAGAACTTGCAAACCATTGTCGGGAAGCTTGCTTTAACCATATAACGACTTGTGAAGGCGACACACTAGATCTCCCCCTGTCGCCGAAGACCAGGAGGTGGAGACATAATTTCTTCATGGAGATCGTCAGGAGAAAAACTTGTTGACATCAAGTTGGTGAAGACCAATATGGGCGCTGTTAAAGCCAATAACATTAACAGTATCATTTTAGCAGTGGGGAAAAAGTGTCATGGTATCTATACCTTCCAGCTGTGTGTAACCTTTTGCACCAAACAAGCTTTGAAACGCTACATATTACCATCCAGTTGCCGTTTGATTTTATAACCCAATGATAACCAATAGGCTTCTTACCGAGAAGAGAAATGAGAGACCAGTGTGGTTAGCTTCTAAAGCAGCCAATTCGATTACATTGCTTCTTGCAATGTGAATGGAAGTTGCTTCGGTATAAGATGTAGGCTCAATATCTTGACTGACAGCCAGCAGTAAAAGAGCAATTGCTGTGTGAGTAACGATGATAAGAGACAAAATTGTAATAGGATACGCGTACCTTTTTTGTGGAGTTGATGACAAAGACGGCAAATGGTTGAGAGACGTTACTTGGTTGCAACAAAATCACGTAAAGTCGAGGGAGGGTGTGAGATCTTTGAGAGCGGCGTAAAATAGGTTCAGGGGAAGCTAGCAGTTGCATTTGGCGGTGAGGATTGTTAGGTAGAGAAATTGGTTCCGGTGGTGGGGGTTGTTGGAATGGTGGGGAAGGATCGGGTATAGAAAGAGGAATCATCGGGGTTAATTTGAGTAAGTGGATGGATGGACTCATAAGAAAAATAGTTTCATGAAACAACATCACAGCTAGTGATTTTTGTGGGTGCAAGGTCAGAAAGCTTACAACTGGATAGCCAAGAAAAACATCGTTTGGCTCGAGCAGCAAATTTATGGGGAACGTGCACATCAATAGCATAGGCAAGGCACCCAAAAGCTCGATATGTTGAATAAGCAGGAAGTCTACCATAAAGTCGTTCAAAGGTGTTTGGCGAGAAAGGAGTGGTGTGGGCAAACGATTGATTATATGACAACAGTAAAACACATTCTGCCCAAAATGTAAAGGAAGGTGGGCTTGAACGAAAAGCTCTAGCAGACTCAAGTATATGCCGATGCTTGCGCTCTACAACCCCATTTTGTTGAGGAGTATAGACACAAGAATGTTGGTAAGTGTCCCTTTTGTTTAAAAAATTCCCGCATAGAGTAGAATTCTCCACCATTATCAACCCGAATTTTCTATAGAAACATGGATTGTGTTTGGACAAATGGAAAAAATTGACAAGTAAATGTTGTGTTTCACTTTTGTGATGCATAAAAATACCCATGTGAATCTAGAATAGTCATCCACAATAGTCAAAAATATTTTTGCACTAGAAAGAGAGGCAATTTTATAGGGGCCCTAAATGTCACAATGAATTAATTCAAAAGGTTTAACAGACGAAATTGACTAATAGAGAACGGAAGTCAACTTTGTCTTGCAGTGCCAAAACATCACAAGCATTATTAGTCTGAAAGGGAAATTTAACAAATGTTTTGTCATAAAATCTAATCTAAAAAGACAAATGCCCCAATCGCGATGCCATAAAGAGGTGGAGGAGTGACCTGAGAACTGGGTGAATGGCAGAAGTGGCTGTTGTGGATGGAGTTTGAGGTTTCGGCTTCTCTGACGCTAACGCAACCAAGTATAAAGTTCGTCTCTTGTTCACCCAAACCAATCGTCATCCTCGTCGTCAAGTCTTGCAATACACCAATAGAAAATGGTTACTGACAATTGAGATCTCTGGTAACTCAACTCACAGACATTAAATCCACCTTAAAAGATGGCAGACCAACACATTTTTTTAAAGTAACAGCATAATTCAAGTAAATTCCCAATGGATGTAATCGGAGCTTGTTCTCCACTTGGCATAGCAACTGGTGGCAAAAGGTGTTCTTACTTTCGTTGACAATCAAAGTTGAGATGAAGTAATGTGGTCTGTGCCCCACTGTCGATAATTAATTGATGGAGGTGTAACATTTTTTGTAACAAACCTGAGGAAGCAGCATTAGCTTTAGGATTGGCAGATTGTTTTGTTCCTTAACCTTGCATGATAGATAAGATTGTTGGATTTGCAAATCAGAAGCCCATTTGTCACCGATGGCACTTCTTGCATTATTAGACTTTCCTTGACATTGTTGACTGAGGATTGATGGCTATGGTTGCGCTTGAATGAGTGTGTTCTTGATTAGACCTGTTTGATGCATGTTTGGGTGTTCTAGTGGGTACCCATTCAGCTTCCAACATTTTTTTCCGTACATGATGGTCACGATCACAATAAGAGCAATGCAGAGGTTTTCGATTAGATGTTGGAACGAGAAAAGAACCTTGTCTGTGTCGAACACCAGAGCCACTGGTTTAGCCCTTCGAACAACCATGGCAGTTCTCTGCTGTCTCACGTGTAGCCCCCAGCTTCGCTGCTTCTCCTCTTGTACAATGGAAAAAAGCCTTGACAGCCCAGGTTGTGGTTCATCAACAAAATTTGCCCTTGGATTGCACTGTAGAACTCATTGAGTCCCATGAGAATTGCATCAATCAACGTCTTTATGGTCTGCCCCACAAGAGCAAACAGTGTCATTATAGGATCCTAGTTCATCCCATAATTTTTTAGTGTCTGTGTAATAAGCTGCAACAGTCATCTGATCTTGAGCAAGACAAGCAATGTCCCTTTCAATCTGAAAAATACAGGGGCATTGCTTGGGAGAAAGGATCCCGAAGTCTTCCCATACCTCCTGGGCATGTGGTAGAAAAAATAACACTATTTGCAAGGTCTTGTGTGAGTGAATTAAGAATCCAGAGAGGATAACATCATTGCATTTTTTCCACGAAGCGTAGTCGTCTGGTTTGGCTATGGCAGATGGCATGTGGGTGTGTCCGTTCTATGAAACCTAACTTGGATTTGGCGTTCAAAGAAATTGTAATGGCTCACACCATGTCGATAATTATCCTCATTGAGGGCTTGGAAACAAGCACTATTCCTGGATGATTGGAATGGTGAAGAAAGATGGATTGGCAGCATCAAGCTTGCCTCCATTCGAAGGTTGTTGTTCTGTCATGATAAGAGAAACAGCGATAAAAGGAAAGCAGATGTAAAGAAACAACGATAAAAAAGGCAAAAGAAAGAGAGCAGATGCAAAGAAACAACGATAAAAAAGGCAAGAAAGGAGACGAATGCACAATCTAGGGTATCGTCCCTGCTCGGATACCATGAAAAGAAGAGAAAAATATTGCCTTTTGAATTGTATTTTAAATTAGAGGCATAGCTTTATACAAAAGTTTTCCTACAATCATGCTGGTCTATTCTAGGTAGTCTAAATATAAAAGACAACAAATATCTCCTACAATCATACTAATATTCTAGGTAGTCTAAGTATGAAAGACAATTAACAAATATTAATTAATACAATATTTGTCAATAATGACTAGATATCATTGACCTTTCCTTCTCAACATAGAAGCTCGTTTGTCTACCATTTATTCTTCCTGAATCCTAGCTCTTGATGCTAAAGAGCTAATGCCTACGCTAGGAATGAACTATTATGTCTTCTTGTGACATTCATGTATTACACAAATTTTGTAGTCATACCTTCGACTGATTATTATTTAATATCCTCAATGTTTGTAGAGAAATACATTAAATATTACCTTTACAAAATAATGTTCAGCTGATTTTTTTTTCCTGATGATTGGATGTTCGGTCGTTTACACATACTTCAACTAATTACTTTTACATTAAAGTTAACATCGAATTTATGTCAAAGTTAACACCCCGAATTTAAATATAAATGAGATACTACATTATCTGCCTCTTACAAACAAACATGCCCTTACAAACACACAAAGCCTGCTAATAAATGTAATAACTATAAAAAAAAAAATGAAAAAAAAAAAAAAATTATGGCGCGTGGTTGCACGGCTTTATAGTTGCGTGAAGGAGCCGTGGCATGGTCTAGATTTTACTACAACGGACTTTTTTTGAATGTGATTGATCTGGGAAGACCTACCAGATATAGTCTTATAGAACGGTAGTTAGCGCGTGCTAGTCTGGCGAACCAATCTTACTCTAACACACACCTCTCTCTCGGTCTCTCCCCCTCTGTTTATTCCTTCATTCTTCTTGTCTGACTCAGAATTGTGCTCCTCCAAAAATCCCAAGAACATTGTCACAATTTCGATGGATTAGGTCTATCTGTAAATTACTAATGTTATTGGTCAACTAAGAATCTTCAGCCTTTTTTATTTACCTTCGTTAAGACGGCATGGCTAATGTACCACCATTGACCATCTTCATCGTCCTCAGCTTCTGTCTTATCCCACTCACGTACTCCGTTCCTTTGTAGTTTTGCATGGTAATTCTCTCTCTTCTTTGTTCTTCTATTCATCAATTTATTCTGTTATTTTACTCGTTATTATTGGCCCTCGAAAATTTACTGTGTTCTTTCTATTCTTCTTCGATTCTCTGTTTTGTTTGTTCCGTCATGCAATTCTTGATCTAGTGTCTTTGTATAAAGTCTGTCCTACGGTTTGTTCTTTATTATCTTTCATATTTCTCTTTGCAAATTGGTATCTACTATGTGGCTTCGCTTGGATTTGGTGAAGGGAAGAACGAAATGATGAGATTGAATTTTTTTTCCCCACCAATTGACTTGGTGATGTCGGTGATTTTTTTTCAAAACTTGACTCCTGTGTTCTAAATCCCAGCAATTAGTAAATGGTCTGTTGTTTCCTTTTAAATTTTGTGACTGGATGTTTTCTAATTTTTTTTTTTTTTTTTTTCTAGTTGTGAAAGAAAGATGCTATCATTAGACCTATTTGGACTACGCTGTTTTATAATGTGCTGTGAAAGAGTTTATCCGACGTGCTATTAGGTTCATGAAAAATGGTTACATGCTTGGTTATACCCGTTTTACTCTGGGAAAAAGTTCCCTGCTTCCCTAAGAAAAATCTGATAAAAATTTCATCTAATGTATTAATAACTCGTTCCGTTATGTTTTTTTGTTAATACGCCTTGAATATTTATTTAATTTCAAAAGGTATGTGAAATGATATTATGCTTTCAAATGGAAATTACTGCCCCAGTATTTGATTCAGTGCTTCTCACTTTCTCCTTAACCAAACGTACCTTCGATTTTTTTTTTTTTTTTCCACAAGTATTGGCTTATTAAAGAGTTAATATGAGAATATATAATAGAATTTTGCTCTTCCAATATACGTATCTGCATCATCGTGATCAAGTTTTTGGCTTCTATCAATTAGCAGCATGTTTTTCACCTTCTGTAAGGAGTTTTAGAGATTTGTCATGCACGAACCTTTGGTGTACTATACTGACCATTTATATGTCACTTTTTGGCAGGCATTAGTGATAAATGCAGTAACGCGGGAGTCACACAGTTTACTGAGCTCTTAAGCAAGTGTGTCTGGCTCTCAAGGATACGCATGTATGCTTTGATTTTCTCAATTTACTTCTGTTATTTGGTAGTCTGTTCCAACTGAAGTCTAACTGACAGAGGTTAGATTTCAGCTGTGAAGGATGAATCATTTGCATGCCGGGTGCCATAAAATATGTAGTAGCTACTATTTATATATATATTTCAAAAATGATTCTAACTTCTCTATAACATATACTTCTACCGGAAAACCATAAAGATAGTGATTTTAGCTTTTATGTTATGAATCACCTCATCATACGAGATAAACGGTAAATTTGTCCCCATGTTTGTGTATGTGGATCTTTGATTTCTCTGACCAGGCTTGTGTGCAAACTGAATGAGTTTCCCTTAATGTTTATGCTTCTCTGCAGAGAAATTGGAGATGGATCGTGGGACTCCTGGACTATGCCCTTACAGAACAGGTGACCCCTGAATAGATAATATGAGTGGTTCTTTTCATTGAAGTTACGTTTTAATAAATAAAATTCTAATGTATCGCAATTATTGTTCTTGCAGACAGCAATTGCTTGCGAGAAGGTCATAGATTTGGTAATGTTTTCACAGCATTGTTTCTGCATTTGAAGTTTGACTTTCTCTTGTCGAATTTCCATATTACAGGTTAAGGGTATCATGACTTAGTGGGGGTTACAACTTAGTGGACTTTCTCAGTAATTAACTTAGTGAGGATTACTAAATTTGGTGTTCAGAATTTTCAGTGGCAAATTCATTAATGTTATTTCCTTCCATAGAGGTGCTCTAAGGACCCCAAATTCCTCCTGGATTTCTATAATTGAACCATTTAGTAGGAGAGTTGTATGACAACTATATGTCAACAAACACAATTCTCTCAAGGGCCCTCTAAACTTAGATTAGCTTATATATTTCAATTCCTTAGTTCATTCTCATTGGGGTTTAGAAATCTTTGTTTTGTGTATTAAAAAATTGTAGTTACTTACCCGTAAACCTTTATATATGATTGGATTGGTAAAGAGTGGAGCATCATTTGTCTTAAATTTGGAAGATTCTATTTGGCTTGTATAAAATAGTCGGTACTTACCCTAAGCTATTTGGTTGCTATTAAATACCTTAATTTCAAGTTTTGTTATTTTTGGTTGCTAGTACTAAAACTGATGTTTATTAGACTGTTCTGTTAACATTTTACATGATCTTTCTTTTCATAGGGTACTATGATTGGTCGAGGGGTTATTGAATTTGTGACGGAGGACCATCTGTAAGAACCAATTTCATGTTCCCTCTCATTTTGCACCTAATTTTCTTTATATTCACACTGACATCGTTTTGACTCATTTGAATATGACACCATCATTTTATAATTTAGGTATCCACATGCTCTAGGGCACCCAACTATCTGTTTTCATATTAGTGTTTATGATATGCCGTACATGAAGTATCATCAAGGTGTTAATAAAATCATCTTGGCAAATCAATGTAGTATTTTGAAAATCATGAAGACCTTGTTTCTGCTTATTCTCTACCCAGTTTTTATACTCATTTCTGCTCCTCGCTATTGAGCTTTTGGTAGTTGTGGGATCAGCTATGCTTATGGAACCTAAAGTGCTGTCTATTCAAATTGTTTTCACTCTTTTCAAAATAGAAAAAATGTCTGCTCTTGGTTTTCAACTAACTATTTGTTGAGTAACTACTTGACCCAAAAAGTTAATAGTAGGTAAAGAATCAACATTAGTATTTAAACTCTTAAAACTATTGATTCACCACACTATAGTTTGAGCTCGACCTTCATTTCTTCATAATTTATCATTGTGTCTTTTTTTGTTTTTTTAATCCTTCAATCCTAATTTTTTCTTTCATTGCACTGATTACTACTCTTTTAATTTAAGTTTGAACATTACAACCCTTTTTATCTATACTGGAACAGGTAAAGAATTTCATTTCACTGGCAGCATCCATGCTGGTACTGCTTCAATTCCATTTTGTGGAGTAAGTGTTTGCCTCACTTGACTTAGTCTGTTTTCAGCCTATTAGTGCAGTGAGATTTGATATTCTCAGTTTTGCAGTCTGTTTGATATGCATTCTCCGGGAAGTTTAATTAAGACAGAGGTCTACAGCAACTATGTACAGGTATGAAATTTTATTTGAGCCTTTAAGTTCTCACCATCTCATTTCTATCACATATCTTGAGGATGAAAGTGGCTGTATTGGAATAATACAAACAATTATCCCAGCCCAGAAACAGCCCACTGAATGATTAGGCGACTGTGACATTTGAATTCGTTTTTTGGATGATTCTTCTTTCACAACTTCAGTTTCAGTTTCTTTTTTGTTTCTATCTCCATTAGTAGCTGATAGCATTTTGACATGTATCTTTGATGAATTGCAGGAAATTTGGCTCCAGTGGTTATCTTAAAATTCAACTGTGAGTACTAGCTTTGGCCTAGCTTAAAAGATACTTGGCTGCCTATTCTTTGCAAGTTCACTATAACCAGTTTTGGCAATCTTTCATGATTGTCCTAACCCAAGAGAGAGAATTTGGAAGGAGGGGGAAGGAATAGATATTTGCTAATTGGAATATGAATTAGCTTGGTCCTTTTGTAAAAGTAAAAAAAGAAGAGTTAGCTTGTTGCGGAAACCATAAATGTATTATATGATAATACTACACTCACTAACACTTCTTACAAACTTCTCTCACAAACACAATATGTCAGCTCGCAATTGGTCGCTCGCATGTATCCGGCCTAACCAAGCCAATTGCGAGCTGTTACAATCGAATTTGTGAGAGAGTGTTTCTGAGAATTGTTGTCAAACTATCTTTATTTGTACTATATTCACCAAGACATTCCCGAGGTTTGAATATCAACTCTAATAGAACGGTTAATTTCACACTTTCCGTTGTTATTGTTTATAAGTTATGATGTGACAAGTGCAGGCTAGTGTTAGTGTCGTTTGCCCTGCCAGTTCTCAGAAATATGAAGTAGCTTCTCGTATTATAATGTTCCATATTCTTTTTCTAGACCAAAAGTGTAAACTCTTTGCCTGTTTTAATTGCATGCATGCTCAAAATGTGCAGCTTATCTAGTTTGCTTTAAATATCTTTCGTTCCGTTTCTAAATCCAGGACATTCCTGAGTATCTAAAGGGATTGAGGTTTCTCCCAAAACTTAACAATGAACTTGCTGACAAAAGAAATTCCACTTATAAGGAACGTTTTTCTAGCTTGGAGAATTTGGTGCTTATCATGGTGAGTTCAGAGTATGTTTTTTTCCTCTAACTTCCTTGGCCCCGGGATATGATTGGTGATTCTTCTCTTTCTTTGCATGCATGACTCAGTTTGAGCAAGACACGGTTTTGATACCCAAGGAAACTTCCTGGTTTGGGTATTTTCCAGATGGGTCCTTTGATACTATTTTATCTGCAAAAGAGGTAATGTATTTTATCATGACTGGCTGCTGAACATGATAAATTCAGCATATTTCCTGGTTTCAAAGACAATAAACTGCATTCACGAACAAAAAGGACTTTGGTAAGGAAGCTCGTGCGGCTGCATGGGCAACTGAACAGAGAACTCTGCATGGTCTCCAGTCCTCTGACACAAAAAAGTTTTCTGATAAAATAAGCACTTTTGGGGACCTCAATCTCATGGCAGAAGAAGCTAAAAAGCGTGCAGAGATTGCAAGGTCAGTGTTCATGCTGGAAAACAATTTGAATAGTAAGAAATATGCATACCATTTGATTGGGAATTGGAGAGTATCATCGATGATGATGGTGGTGGCTTATCTAATTTCCAGTAACTTTAAAATACTTTCTGATATTGATAAAAATCATCTTTTAATAATAATAATATTGACTTACCCATCTTGAGAGTTGAGTTCAGTGAAATTTTGGCAAACAGACTAGTTTCTAATAGCATCTGGTTTTTGACAATTTATTTGGAGTTTGCAGGATGAGGGAGCTTCACACTTTGAAAGGGAAGGTTGAATCATCTGCCAAGTTAAGGGGTCTGGACATTGATGCCATGAACCAGCACTACACTGTCTAAGTCATCTACTGATCATATGATATGATACCTTGTAATTTTACTTTCATTCTTTTTTATTTCATTCGTGGATTTTTTACAAGAATCTTTTATTCTCTACGTAATATTATTTAATTCAGTAATACTACACTTATAAATAAATCTTACAAAGATCTCCATACAAAGTGATATGACAAATAATGAATGAAAGAGTGAATATAATGAGTTTGACTTTTTATTTCACTATTTTATTCATTTTTTGTCACCTTATTTTATATGTAAATCTTTGTAAGGTTTATTTGTTAGTATAATATTATTATATTCAATTTCTGTTGTTTATAACTGTCTCTTTTTTAGTTTCAAGTAAGTATCACTACGGTCATATGTATCAGGCATCTTAATTCTTAAGTTACCCAAAAACATGTAAAATAGGCTGTACAGAGAAAAAGTAAACACTCAAATGAGTGAATAACAATTTCCCACCCAAGGTTTTCCAAAATTACTTTTCCCACCCATAAACTTTGAGAAAAATAATTTCCCACCCATCGTCAATCTTCGTCAATGGAATCTGTTACGGGGTAAAACTACAAAAAACTATTGCGTTTGGCTTATTGTTTTTATCCATATTCCCAATCCTATTCTTCAAATGTTGTTTGACACGTTATTCTCAAAATATTAGTCTATTTTGTTAATTACTTTTAGACCTCATAAGTTTATTAATTTCATCAAATACCCCCAGAAAAAAAGTTTAAAAACTAAAAAAAAACACCCCCACCACCAATACTTTCCAGATTCCGGCTACCACCGCCGGTGGTAGCCGGAATCTATCACAGCAGTCACACGACCATCGGAAACAAAGAAATGGCCATCGTTGACGGCCAAAGATGGCCTTTTTCGGCTGTTGAAGGTCGCATCCGGCCTTAGATTTGGCCTTTTCCAGCCAGATCCGTGTTGGATATGGCCGGAAAAGGTCATATCGATAGAATACCCGTCAGATCTGACCGGTATGTGTGGTTATCCAATTTTCTGGCCAGATTCCAGCGGTGGTGGCCGGAATCTAACACTGTGGGTGGTAGGGGTGTTTTTGTCATTTTATAATATTTTAATATATTGGGGTGTTTATTAAATTAGCAAACCTTGGGGGCTTTTTCATAAAATTTTAAATTTTATCTCGTAATACTCTCCTATCCAACTATCTAATATCATCCCCAAAATCCTACCCAAAATAATAAACCAAACGCACCCATACTTTTTACTATTTGCTTTCTAATTTTTAATGAAACTGAATAACTTTTCCCACCCAAACTTTATTAAATGTAATTTTCACCCCCAGTTTGGTTTATATTAATTTTAGGGTTAATAAATTTAAAAAAATTAAAATAAAGTCAGTTATTAAAATAAAAAATAAAAAAATTATAAAAGTTTGAAACAAAAAAAATAGTTGGCCAAAATCGCATCCAGCGATTCCAACTAATTCGCACCTGGCTAGGTATGATTCTAACCAACTATTTTTTTCAAAATTTTTTATTTTTTATTTTTGGATTTTTGTTATTTTTACAATTTTTCAATTTTTCTTTTTTGGAATTATATTTTCATAAAATATATATATAATATTAATGAAATATTATTTTGTAGTTTCATAAATATTTAAGTGACAAATATTATTATTATTTTTAAAAATAATATATACATATAACTTTAAATTTTTTTTTAGAAACACGCATACTTTAGAAGTGAACTCCATTGTAATTATAAAAAATAAAAATAGGGGTTTAAATGACTAATTTCCAAGTTAGTGAAGGACATGGTTAAATGTTTGTAATTAGGGGTGTAAGGAATATTAACCCTATAATATATATTGTGTGAACTCACAATAAGGCCTTTTGCTGTCAAAACTAATGTTTTAATTTAACAATGGGTGGGAGAATGTTTTTTTTCAAAGTTTATTGGTGGAAAAGTTATTATGAAAAACTTTTGGTGGGAACAGATTCATTCACTTCTATAGTGAATTGAAAGCTACTTTGCATGGGGTGGGTGGACTGAGTCTGAGAGAAGATCTTTTTATTTATCAAATGGCGAAACAACAACAGTTTCTTTGGCGTTCAATAGACCGAAAATGCCTTTCTCTGCTTGAGGGTACCCGCACAAAAGAATCTCTCTTCCAAATCCACGCTTTTATGCTTCGTAACGCCATCGAAACAAATGTTAAAATTTTCGCTAAATTCGTCGTAACCTGTGCTCCACTCGCTGGTATCCTTTACGCACGGCGCATGTTCGATCATAGGCTTCATAGAGACGACACTTTCCTTTGTAATTCTATGATCAAAGCGCATGTGAATATGCGCCAATTAGCTGAATCTTTCACTCTTTATGAACAACTTAGGAGATACACGCATTTTATTCCCGATAATTTTACGTTTATTGCGTTGGCGAAGTGTTGTAGTTTCAGAATGGTGATTTGGGAAGGTTTGCAATTGCACAGTCATATTGTAAAAATAGGATTTTTCTTAGATTTGTATGTGTCAACTGCATTGGTCGATATGTACACGAAATACGGGAAAATGGGTTGGGCCAAAAAAGTATTTGATGAAATGACTGATAGAAGTGTAGTGTCATGGACAGCTCTCATTTCTGGGTATGCGAGGTCTGGTGATATGGCTCATGCGAAGAAACTTTTTGATGAGATGTCAGAGACTGAGAGAGGAGACTCTGCTGTGTATAATGCAATGATTGATGGTTATGTTAAATTAGGAGATATGGTTTCGGCTCGAAGTTTGTTTGATGAGATGCCAGATAGGAATGTGATTTCTTGGACTAGTATGATTTATGGATTTTGCACAAATGGTGATGTTATAGCTGCTAGGTCATTTTTTGATAACATGCCAGAGAAGAACCTGATTTCTTGGAATGTGATGATTGGTGGATATTACCAGAATAAACAACCCCATGAAGCGTTGAAGTTGTTCCATGAACTGCAAGCAAGTAGACTATTTGAACCTAATGAGGTAACCATTGTAAGCATTCTTCCAGCTATTGCTGACTTGGGTGCTTTGGATTTGGGCGGTTGGGTTCACCAGTTTGTTCAGAGGAGGAAACTTGACAGAGCAACCAATGTGTGTACTGCACTTGTTGATATGTATGCAAAGTGTGGTGAAATCACGAAAGCAAGAAGAGTTTTTTATGAAATGCCCGAAAAAGATATATCTTCTTGGAATGCTTTGATAAACGGATATGCTGTCAATGGACGTGCCAAGGAAGCATTGGAGGTTTTCTTGGAGATGATGCAGGAAGCAATCAAGCCAAATGATATAACCATGATTGGTGTTTTGTCTGCATGTAACCATGGTGGTTTGGTGGAGGAAGGGAAGAGGTGGTTTAAAGCAATGGAGGAGTTTGGGCTTACCCCAAAAATTGCTCATTATGGTTGTATGGTAGATCTATTAGGGAGGGCAGGATGCCTGGAGGAAGCTGAAAAGTTGATCCATAGTATGCCTTATGAGGCTAATGGGATAATTCTTAGTTCTTTTCTATGTGCTTGTGGGAACTCAAAGGATGTTACAAGGGCTGAGAGAGTGTTGAACAAGGCTATTGATATGGGGCCATGGAATGATGGGAACTATATCATATTGAGAAATTTGTATGCCACAGAGGAAAGATGGAGAGATGCAGAGGAAATTAAGGGTCTGATGAGGAGCAATGGGGTAAAAAAAGAAGTAGGCTGTAGTGTTATTGAGGTTGATCGTAGGGTTCAAGAGTTTCAATGTGGAGATAGAATTCATCCACAATGGGAAGTGATGGAGTCGATCTCAAGGCAATTCTGGACACACATGAAGGGATAGGACAGCTATCAATATTTGTAAAATTTTGAACTTGCTGATGAAGAAGATTCGGCAAAGGTACATTCAAGAGATGTATTGTGATAGCCCTCCAATAATTAAAGTGCACCCTTGTATTAGTCACGTCTCATTTTCAATGGTTTTTGCATGACAGCTAGGATTTTTGTTGCTGACAGTCTTCTGGGAGTTCGATTTTCCTCCTTTCATGGTTCTTGTCATCGCCGTTCTTAATGATGGTTAGCTTAAAAGATTTCATAGGACTTCTATTTTATCTTTCTTTCTGTAACATAATCTTCTACCCTTTCTTGTTAACTCGTATTGTTATGGCCTGCTTGGCTCATAGGTACTATCATGACCATCTCCAAAGACAGGGTAAAGCCTTCTCCTCTCCCTGACAGTTGGAAGCTCGGTGAAATTTTTGCAACAGGAATTGTACTTGGTGCTTACCTGGCTCTAATGACAGTTGTATTCTTCTGGGCAGCTTATGAAACTAACTTCTTTCCAGTAAATTCCCATCCTTTTCAGTAAAATCATCTCATTTTATTGTTATTTGTTATCCTGCATCATTGACACATCCTATATTTCTTTATTAAAATCTCAAACTTAATTAATTATTTATCCTCATTTCCTCTTGGTAGAAACATTTCCACGTGAAGAACTTCAACCAGCACCATTTTAACATGTCTGACGACAAAATTTCGACTGAACTTAAAGAAAGGATGGCATCAGCACTGTATCTTCAAATCAGCACCATTAGCCAGGCCTTAATTTTTGTGACACGCTCCAGGGGCTGGTCATATACTGAGAGACCTGGCTTTCTGCTTGTCATTGCGTTCGTTATTGCTCAATTGGTATTTTCCCTACCCGTATCAATGCTCTAAAGATAACTCTTTTTATGAATGAAGTTATCAAGATTTGAATTCTGGATTCTTACTCTTCGCAGATTGCAAGTGTGATATCTGCCACTGCAACCTCGAAGTTTGCAGGCATCAGAGACATTGGTTGGGCCTGGACAGGGGTCATTTGGTTGTTTAATATCGCAACTTACTTGCTGCTTGATCCTATCAAATTTGCTGTCCGATATGCTCTCAGTGGGAGAGCCTGGAGTCTCGTTGTAGACCAAAGGGTACGAACTATACTTACCCTATCAAATTAACTCATGTATCTATGTGTAGAGGTCGAAATTTTAAGTACACCATTTGAATCTACGTACATCTGAAATTTCTAAGAGTATTTCAATATTCTCTAACGCAAAGAACTTTCGTGTGGTTTCTACCAGACTGCATTCACGAACAAAAAGGACTTTGGTAAGGAAGCTCGTGCGGCTGCATGGGCAACTGAACAGAGAACTCTGCATGGTCTCCAGTCCTCTGACACAAAAAAGTTTTCTGATAAAATAAGCACTTTTGGGGACCTCAATCTCATGGCAGAAGAAGCTAAAAAGCGTGCAGAGATTGCAAGGTCAGTGTTCATGCTGGAAAACAATTTGAATAGTAAGAAATATGCATACCATTTGATTGGGAATTGGAGAGTATCATCGATGATGATGGTGGTGGCTTATCTAATTTCCAGTAACTTTAAAATACTTTCTGATATTGATAAAACTCATCTTTTAATAATAATAATATTGACTTACCCATCTTGAGAGTTGAGTTCAGTGAAATTTTGGCAAACAGACTAGTTTCTAATAGCATCAGGTTTTTGACAATTTATTTGGAGTTTGCAGGATGAGGGAGCTTCACACTTTGAAAGGGAAGGTTGAATCATCTGCCAAGTTAAGGGGTCTGGACATTGATGCCATGAACCAGCACTACACTGTCTAAGTCATCTACTGATCATATGATATGATACCCTTGTAATTTTACTTCATTCTTTTTTATTTCATTCGTGGATTTTTTACAAGAATCTTTTATTCTCTACGTAATATTATTCAATTTCCGTTGTTTATAACTGTCTCATTTTTAGTTTCAAGGAAGTATCACTACGTTCATGTGTATCAGGCATCTTATTTCTTAAGTTACCCAAAAACATGTAAAATAGGCTGTACAGAGAAAAAGTAAACACTCAAATGAGTGAATAACAATTTCCCACCCAAGGTTTTCTGGAATTACATTTCTCGCCCATAAACTTTGAGAACAACAATTTCCCACCCATCGTCAATCTCCGTCAATAGAATCTGTTACGGGGTAAACTATGAAAAGACTATAATACTCTTTACTATTTTGCATTATAATTTTTAACGAGGTTGGATAACTTTTCCCACCCAGACTTTATTAAATATAATTTTCACCCCCAGTTTGGTTTATATTAATTTTAGGGTTAATAAATTTAAAAAATTAAAATAAAGTCCGTTATTAAAATAAAAAATATAAAAATTTGAAAGAAAAAAAATAGTTGGCCTGAATCGCATCCAGCGATTTCGACTAATTCGCACCTGGCTGGGTATGATTCTGGCCAATTATTTTTTTCAAAATTTCAAAATTTTTATTTTCGGATTTTTCTTACTTTTACAATTTTTCAATTTTTCTTTTTTTGGAATTATATTTTCATAAAATATATACAATATTAATGAAATATTATTTTGTAGTTTCATAAATATTTAATTGACAAATATTATTATTATTTTTAAAAATAATATATACATATAACTTTAATTTTTTTTTTAGAAACACGCATACTTTATAAGTGAACTCCATTGTAATTATAAAAAATTACAAATTACAAATAGGGGTTTAAATGACTAATTTCCAAGTTAGTGAAGGACATGATCATATGTTTGTAATTAGGGGTGTAAGGAATATTAGCCCTATAATATATATTGTGTGAACTCACAATGAGGCCTTTTGCTGTCAAAACTAATGTTTTAATTTAACAATGGTTGGGAGAATGTTTTTTTCAAAGTTTATTGGTGGAAAAGTTATTATGAAAAACTTTTGGTGGGAACAGATTCATTCACTTCTATAATGAATTGAAAGCTACTTTGCATATGGGTGGACTGAGTCTGAGAGAAGATCTTTTTATTTATCAAATGGCGATACAACAACAGTTTCTTTGGCGTTCAATAGACCGAAAATGCCTTTCTCTGCTTGAGGGTACCCGCACAAAAGAATCTCTCTTCCAAATCCACGCTTTTATGCTTCGTAACGCCATCGAAACAAATGTTAAAATTTTCGCTAAATTCGTCGTAACCTGTGCTCCACTCGCTGGTATCCTTTACGCACGGCGCATGTTCGATCATAGGCTTCATAGAGACGACACTTTCCTTTGTAATTCTATGATCAAAGCGCATGTGAATATGCGCCAATTAGCTGAATCTTTCACTCTTTATGAACAACTTAGGAGATACACGCATTTTATTCCCGATAATTTTACGTTTATTGCGTTGGCGAAGTGTTGTAGTTTCAGAATGGTGATTTGGGAAGGTTTGCAATTGCACAGTCATATTGTAAAAATAGGATTTTTCTTAGATTTGTATGTGTCAACTGCATTGGTCGATATGTACACGAAATACGGGAAAATGGGTTGGGCCAAAAAAGTATTTGATGAAATGACTGATAGAAGTGTAGTGTCATGGACAGCTCTCATTTCTGGGTATGCGAGGTCTGGTGATATGGCTCATGCGAAGAAACTTTTTGATGAGATGTCAGAGACTGAGAGAGGAGACTCTGCTGTGTATAATGCAATGATTGATGGTTATGTTAAATTAGGAGATATGGTTTCGGCTCGAAGTTTGTTTGATGAGATGCCAGATAGGAATGTGATTTCTTGGACTAGTATGATTTATGGATTTTGCACAAATGGTGATGTTATAGCTGCTAGGTCATTTTTTGATAACATGCCAGAGAAGAACCTGATTTCTTGGAATGTGATGATTGGTGGATATTACCAGAATAAACAACCCCATGAAGCGTTGAAGTTGTTCCATGAACTGCAAGCAAGTAGACTATTTGAACCTAATGAGGTAACCATTGTAAGCATTCTTCCAGCTATTGCTGACTTGGGTGCTTTGGATTTGGGCGGTTGGGTTCACCAGTTTGTTCAGAGGAGGAAACTTGACAGAGCAACCAATGTGTGTACTGCACTTGTTGATATGTATGCAAAGTGTGGTGAAATCACGAAAGCAAGAAGAGTTTTTTATGAAATGCCCGAAAAAGATATATCTTCTTGGAATGCTTTGATAAACGGATATGCTGTCAATGGACGTGCCAAGGAAGCATTGGAGGTTTTCTTGGAGATGATGCAGGAAGCAATCAAGCCAAATGATATAACCATGATTGGTGTTTTGTCTGCATGTAACCATGGTGGTTTGGTGGAGGAAGGGAAGAGGTGGTTTAAAGCAATGGAGGAGTTTGGGCTTACCCCAAAAATTGCTCATTATGGTTGTATGGTAGATCTATTAGGGAGGGCAGGATGCCTGGAGGAAGCTGAAAAGTTGATCCATAGTATGCCTTATGAGGCTAATGGGATAATTCTTAGTTCTTTTCTATGTGCTTGTGGGAACTCAAAGGATGTTACAAGGGCTGAGAGAGTGTTGAACAAGGCTATTGATATGGGGCCATGGAATGATGGGAACTATATCATATTGAGAAATTTGTATGCCACAGAGGAAAGATGGAAAGATGCAGAGGAAATTAAGGGTCTGATGAGGAGCAATGGGGTAAAAAAAGAAGTAGGCTGTAGTGTTATTGAGGTTGATCGTAGGGTTCAAGAGTTTCAATGTGGAGATAGAATTCATCCACAGTGGGAAGTGATGGAGTCGATCTCGAGGCAATTGTGGACACACATGAAGGGACAGGACACCTATCAATATTTGTAAAATGTTGAACTTGCTGATGAAGAAGATTCAGCAAAGGTACATTCAAGAGATGTATTGTGATAGCCCTCCCAAGTAATGCAATCAAATTGAAGCCTGCAGATCTCAGGGAAGAAGGCTTTGTGATGAAAAGGGAAGGGCCCAAGGGGGGGATCTGTAGAAGGCTCGTTAGTCCACCATTTATTCTTCCTGAATCCTAGCTCTTGATGCTAAAGAGCTAATGCCTACGCTAGGAATGAGACTATTATGTCTTCTTGTGACATTCATGTATTACACAAATTTTGTAGTCATACCTTCGGCTGATTATTATTTACAATAATACTATATTTACAAAAGAAAATCTTAAATGGTAAAAAATAAATAGAAAAATTAAATAAAAAGTTAAATTCACTCATTCATTCATTTTTTATCATATCATTTTATACAGAGATATTTGTAAAATTTCTTTATAAGTGTAATATTACTCTATTATTTAATATTCTTAATGATGTGCAGAGAAATATCATCTTGACAGCTATAAATATTACCTTTATAAAAAATAATGTTCAATTGGTATTTTTTCTTGGTGATCAGATATTCGAGTTAATTTACACGTATCTCAATTACTTGTTATCGATGCTTTTTACAAACAAACAATAAGCTATAAAATAAAATGAAAAAAAAAATTTGTGGCGCGTGGTTGCACGGCTTTATAGTTGCGTGAAGGAGCCGTGGCATGGTCTAGATTTTACTACAACGGACTTATTTTGAATGTGATTGATCTTGGAAGACCTACCAGACACAGTCTTATAGAACGGTAGTTGGCGCGTGCTAGCCTGGCGAACCAATCTTACTCTAACTAACACCTCTCTCTCGGTCTCTCCCACTCTGTTTATTCTTTCATTTCTTATTGTCTGACTCAGAATTTGTGCTCCTCCAAAAATCCCAACAACATTGTCACAAGTTCTATGGATTAAGGTCTTTCTGTAAATTACTAATGTTATTGGTCAACTAAGAATTTTCAGCCTTTTTTTTTACCTTCGTTAAGACGGCAATGGCTCATGTACCACCATTGACCATCTTCCTCGTCCTCAGCTTCTGTCTTATCCCACTCACGTACTCCGTTCCTTTCGTAGTTTTGCATGGTAATTCTCTCTCTTCTTTGTTCTTCTATTCATCAATTTATTCTGTTATTTTACTTCGTTATTACCCTCAAATATTTACTGTGTTCTTTCTAATTCTTCTTCGATTCTCTGTTTTGTTTGTTCCGTCATGCAATTCTTGATCTAGTGTCTTTGTATAAAGTCTGTCCTACTGGTTTGTTCTTTATTATCTTTCATAATTTCTTCTTGCAAATTGGTATCTACTATGTGGCTTCGCTTGGATTTGGTGAAAGGGAAGAACGAAATATGATGAGATTGATTTTTTTTTCCCCACTCAATTGTCTTGGTGATGTCGGTGATTAATTTTTCAAAACTTGACTCCTGTGTTCTAAATCCCAGCAATTAGTAAATGGTCTGTTGTTTCCTTTTAAATTTTGTGACTGGATGTTTCTGAATTTTTTTTTTTTCTAGTTGTGAAAGAAAGATGCTATCATTAGACCTATTTTGGACTACAGCTGTTTTATTAATGTGCTTTGAAAGAGTTTATCTGACGTGCTATTAGGTTCATGAAAAATGGTTACATGCTTGGTTATACCCGTTTTACTTCTGGGAAAAAGTTCCCTGCTTCCCTAAGAGAAAAATCTGATATAAAATTTCATCTACTGTATTAATAACTCTGTTCCGTTATGTTTTTTTGTAAATATACGCCTTGAATATTTTGTTTAAAATTTCAAAAGGTATGTGAAATGATATTAATCATATTATGCTATTGCAAATGGAAATTTACTGCCCCAGTATTTGGTTCAGTGCTTCTCACTTTCTCCTTAACCAAACGTACCTTCGATTTTTTTTTTTTTTTTTTTTCACACAAGTATTGGCTTATTAAAGAAGTTAATATGAGAATATATAATAGAATTTTGCTCTTCCAATATACGTATCTGCATCATCGTGATAACGTTTTTGGCTTCTATCAATTAGCAGCATGTTTTTCACCCTTCTGATAAGGAGTTTTAGAGATGTAATCATGCACGAACCTTTGGTGTACTATACTGACCATTTATATGTCACTTTTTGGCAGGCATTAGTGATAAATGCAGTAACCGGGGAGTCACACAGTTTACTGAGCTCTTAAGCAAGTGGTCTGGCTCTCAAGGATACTGCATGTATGCTTTGATTTTCTCAATTTACTTCTGTTATTTGGTAGTCTGTTCCAACTGAAGTCTAACTGACAGAGGTTAGATTTCAGCTGTGAAGGATGGAATCATTTGCATGCCTGGGTGCCATAAAATATGTAGTAGCTAACTATTTATATATATATTTCAAAAATGATTGCTAACTTGTTCTATAACATATACTTCTGACCGGAAAACCATAAAGATAGTGAATTTTAGCATTTTATGTTATGAAATCAAGCTCATCATACGAGATAAACAGTAAATTTGTCCCCATGTTTGTGTATGTGGATCTTTGATTTCTCTGACCAGGCTTGTGTGCAAAACTGAATGAGTTTCCCTTAATGTTTATGCTTCTCTGCAGAGAAATTGGAGATGGATCGTGGGACTCCTGGACTATGCCCCTTACAGAACAGGTGACACCTGAATAGATAATATGAGTGGTTCTTTTCATTGATAATGTTTACGTTTTAATAAATAAAATTCTAATGTATCGCAATTATTGTTCTTGCAGACAGCAATTGCTTGCGAGAAGGTCATAGCTATTTGGTAAAATGTTTTCACAGCATTGTTTCTGCATTTGAAGTTTGACTTTCTTCTTGTCGAATTTCCATATTACAGGTTAAGGGTATCAGTGAACTTAGTGGGGGTTACAACTTAGTGGGACTTTCTCAGGTAATTAACTTAGTGAGGATTACTGAATTTTTGGATGTTCAGAATTTTCAGTGGCAAATTTCATTTAATTGGTATTTCCTGTCCATTAGAGGGTGCTCTAAGGACCCCAAATTCCTCCTGGATTTCTATAATTGATACCAATTTAGTAGGAGAGTTGTATGACAGACTATATGTCAACAAACACAATTCTCTCAAGGGCCCTCTAAACTTAGATTAGCTTATACATTTCAATTCCTTAGTTCATTCTCATTGGGGTTTAGAAATCTTTTGTTTGTGTATTAAAAAATAGTAGTTAGTTACCCGTAAACCATTTATATATGATTGGATTGGTAAAGAGTGGAGTATCGTTTGTCTTAAATTTGGAAGATTCTATTTGGCTTGTATAAAATAGTCGGTACTTACCCGTAAGCTATTTGGTTGTTATTTTAAATACCTTAAATTTCAAGTTCTTGTTATTTTTGGTTGCTAGTACTAAAACTGATGTTTAATTAGACTGTTCCGTTAACATTTTACTTGATCTTTCTTTTCATAGGGTACTATGATTGGTCGAGGGGTTATTGAATTTTGTGATGGAGGACCATCTGTAAGAACCAATTTCATGTTCCCTCTCATTTTGCACCTAATTTTCTTTATATTCACACTGACATCGTTTTGACTCATTTGAATATGACACCATCATTTTATAATTTAGGTATCCACATGCTCTATGGGCACCCAACTATCTGTTTTCATATTAAGTGTTATATGATATGCCGTACATGAAGTATCATCAAGGTGTTAATAAAATTCATCTTGGCAAATCAATGTAGTATTTTGGAAAACTATATGAAGGACCTTGTTTCCTGCTTATATCTCTACCCAGTTTTTATACTCATTTCTGCTCCTCGCTATTGAGCTTTATGGTAGTTGTGGGATCAGCTATGCTTATGGAACTAAAGTGCTGTCTATTCAAATTGTTTTCACATCTTTTCAAAAAAAGAAAAAATGTCTGCTCTTGGTTTTCAACTAATCTATTTGTTGAGTAACTACTTGACCCAAAAAGTTTAATAGTAGGTAAAGAATCAACATTAGTATTTAAACTCTTAAAACTATTGATTCACCACATCTATAGTTTGAGCTCGTACCTTCATTTCTTCATAATTTTATCATTGTGTCTTTTTTTTTTCTTTAATTCCTTCAATCCTACTTTTTTCTTTTACATTGCACTGAGTTACTACTCTTTTGAATTTAAAGTTTGAACATTACAACCCGTTTTATCTATACTGGAACAGGTAAAGAATTTCATTTCACTGGCAGGCATCCATGCTGGTACTGCTTCAATTCCATTTTGTGGAGTAAGTGTTTGCCTCACGTTGACTTAGTCTGTTTTCAGCCTATTAGTGCAGTGAGATTTGATATTCTCAGTTTTGCAGTCTGTTTTGATATGCATTCTCCTGGATAGTTTAATTAAGACAGAGGTCTACAGCAACTATGTACAGGTATGAAATTTTATTTGAGCCTTTAAGTTCTCACCTTCTCATTTCTATCACATATCTTGAGATGAAAGTGAAAGACTGTATTGGAATAAATACAAACAATTAATCCCAGCCCAGAAACAGCCCACTGAATGATTAGGCGACTGTGACATTTGAATTTGTTTTTATGGATAGATTCTTCTTTCACAACTTCAGTTTCAGTTTCTTTTTTGCTTCTATCTCCGTTAGTAGCTGATAGCATTTTGACATGTATCTTTGATGAAATTGCAGGAACATTTGGCTCCCAGTGGTTATCTTAAAATTCCAACTGTGAGTACTAGCTTTGGCTTAGCTAAAAAGATACTTGGCTGCCCATTCTTTTGCAAGTTCACTATTAACCAGTTTTGGCAATCTTTCAAGATTGTCCTAACCCAAGAGAGAGAATTTGGAAGGAGGGGGAAGGGAATAGATTTTTTTTGCTAATTGGAACATGAATTAGCTTGGTCCTATTTTGTAAAAGTAAAAAAAGAAGAGTTAGCTTGTTGCGGAAACCATAAATGTATTATATGAGTAATACTACACTCACTAACACTTCTTACAAACTTTCTCTCACAAACACAATATGTCAGCTCGCAATTGGTTCGCTCGCATGTATCCGGCCTAACCAAGCCAATTGCGAGCTGTTACATCGAATTTGTGAGAGAGTGTTTCTGAGAAGTGTTTGTCAAACTATCTTTATTTGTACTATATTCACCAAGACATTTCCCGAGGTTTGAATATCAACTCTAATAGAACGGTTAATTTCACACTTTAACGTTGTTAGTATATTATAAGTTATGATGTGACAAGTGACAGGCTGGTGTTAGGTCGTTTGCCCTGCCAGTTCTCAGAAGTATGAAGTAGCTTCTTCTTATTATAATTGTTCCATATTTCTTTTTCTAGATCAAAAGTGTAAAACTCTTTGCCTGTTTTAATTGCATGCATGCTCAAAATGTGCAGCTTATCTAAGTTTGCTTTAAATATCTTTCGTTCCGTTTCTAAATCCAGGACATTCCTGAGTATCTAAAGGGATGTAGGTTTCTCCCAAAACTTAACAATGAACTTGCTGACAAAAGAAATTCCACTTATAAGGAACGTTTTTCTAGCTTGGAGAATTTGGTGCTTATCATGGTGAGTTCACGAGTTATTGTTTTTCCTCTAACATTCCTTGGCCCTGTGGATATGATTGGTGATTCTTCTCTTTCTTTGCATGCATGACTCAGTTTGAGCAAGACACGGTTTTGATACCCAAGGAAACTTCCTGGTTTGGGTATTATCCAGATGGGTCCTTTGACACTATTTTATCTGCACAAGAGGTAATGTATTTTATCAGTGACTGGCTGCTGAACATGATAAATTCAGCATATTTCCTGGTTTCAAAAGACAATAATAATAGTACAGGCAATGGAAATTTCTTGACCCGAAAACAAGAAGATAACAATTTCTCCCATATTTTTTGTAATTTTTGTGATATATGTGCAGACCCCACTCTATATCGACGACTGGATTGGTTTGAAAACCTTGGATGAGGCTGGGAAAGTTAAATTCATAAACGTTTCTGGGAATCATCTTCAGATCTCTCGAAGTGATATGAAGACATACATAGTTCCTTACTTGAAAGACCAAACTTCAACAACAGAGCTGATGATAACAGAATCATCTTTATCTCATAGATGGCTTTCATCAATATGGAACTTCTTTGTTAATCTTGGTGGGTTCAGTGTGGATCAACATTTGCTATCGGTTGTTTCCTAGATGAAATCCCTCTTCTGAATAAGGATGCACAGCGTGTCACTATTTTTTCAGTTTCTCTTAAATCATTGCGGACTGTCACATCTTGATTCCTGTATCTGCTCATTGAAGATTTTTTATTGGTGTAAATGGTTGGAAGATGACAAAAAGTTGATTTTATTGATTATTGACTGTCATATTTTTTGTCTGCTCCCATTTTGCTTTAGAATTACTATCGTTTTGCATTTTCGCACAATGTTCTCAATTCCAAGGGAGTGTTTAGTTAGAGGTGATAGAAGATTATTAGGATTATGTCCTCTTACATTATTTGATTATTATATTTGGTTAGTAAGTAATATAAGATTATGATAATCTTGCATTACCAATAATTGTTATTGTTAGTAATATTAGAGGTCATCTAATTATCTCTATTTTCTTAGGTATTGTAAGATTATTTTAGTAATTTTATTTTTGTTACAATTCTATCGCTTATTAATAAAAATTTTGAACAATAATGCCCTTGTTTTAAAATAAATTTACATTAATATATCATTTCAATTTTATCCTTGTTTAGTTAAGTTTTTGGACAATAATACTCTTATATTTAAAACAAATTACAGACCACTACTATCACCCAGCCACCATCGCCAACAATGGGCCAACCACCACAGACCTCCGTCGAAAAGTCGTTGGAGTCCCTAAAAATGACCGATATTCGCTGGGAGGCTCCGAGAGGCTTTGATATGGCCGTTTTCGGCCATCAATCATGCTAGATAGCCTTTAGCAGCCAGATCTAGGTGAGATCTGGTCAATAACGGCGTGGCCGTTTTCGACCATCAATATGGCCAGAAACAACCATATCGGAGCCTCGTGGTCACAATGAGCTACTCACGGCGGCTTTCGGAGACTTCTGACGATGGTTTGCGATGGCAGTAGGCAGCGGCAGGGGTGATTTTGTCATAATTAAAGTTTTATATAAGCGGGGGTGTTTTGGCTAAATCTAAAATATTGGGGGTTAAAAGAAATTATTCAAAAATTAATAATAAAAAAATATTATATTAATATTTAAAAAGAGGGAAATTTAGTAATTTAAATAACATATTCATCAATTTATTTCCCCTAACCAAACATATTAATATAACATACCCACCAACTAACCAAACACACTTTCCTAAAAATTCCTAATAATTTTCAAGGTAATATGAGATTTCAGTAATCCAACATTCCTTGAACCAAACGCATCCTAAGTTTATCTTCTTTTTGGCACAATGTCATGTTTACCCCTTTGTCTTGACGTAATATCATATTGTCCCTAATCGTTTTGATACAATATTAGCTTAACCCCTGCATTATGGGAAAATACACTTGACCCCTTTGTCTTGGTAAAATGTTATATTGACCCTTATTCTCGTTAAAATACCATATTGTCCTCTACTTTTTGGTAAACTAACAATTGGTCCTTATGTTTGGGTAAACTATCAACTTGTACCGCCTGTTTTGGTACATAATTAGCTTGACCCCTCTATTTTTGCATGATATCGTCACAACCAATGTTTTAATAACCAACCCGAGGTAAAACCCAACAAAGTGGTTGGGTCCCAGGTTAACTGGTTTAACCAGCAGGTCAAATCGATGTCCAAAAGTTTAAAATACAACAAAAATACCCCTAAAAATTACATGTAAGTCCCTACAATTTTAAAATCTTGTAAAAACACCTCAAACACCACTATCAACGTCGACAAACCAAGGCAAATAAGGCATGTTTCTGGCAATGACAACATTCCCCATCTCCACAAAAACACTCCCCTTAGCCTCCTGACCAAAACCCATATCACCCCTCCCCCGATTGCCTCACCAATCAACAACAACAACCTATTATTGCCGCCAATTTAGTTTTGCGATTTTCGATCGATTCACTCACTGAAAATCACCTCTGTCGCCAACATTGCACTCACTGACCCTTCCTCTTCAAAAACCCCAACATGCCGACCTTCAATTGTTCGCTAATTACCATCCTAATTTCTAGGATTTTCGGTGAATAGGAAAATTAATAACCCGACTCGGTGAAGGCCCCAAGTCCTGATTGAACCGGTTTAACTGGCTGGGCTGGGTTTTAAAACATTGGTCACGACTACTAAATTTTTCATTGTATCAATTATATATCACTTTGACACCTCGATGTTTTCTTAAAATCCCGTTTAGTTGTTTCATTATGATGAATTCACCCCTATGTTTCATAATATCTATTTCTCGGCTCCTCATCCAATTTACCACAATAGTTTATCATAATAATCAAATTATACAATTATAGGGTGAGTTTCAACTTCCAAGCACCGGATGTCTGAGAACCATGGGGATTGACAATTACTTTGAGCCAGGAGCCTTTTAGACAACAAAAACACCCCCACATGCTCTGGTATCAGTTCCCCAGTCTGCACTCGAGCTGCCAACTGAACAGAACCAACTATGAAGAGAACAAAAAAAATCATACGTAATTTTCCAAAATACAGATAAAGGGTTAAACCTAACTGAAGATATTGTCTAAAACAACTTTAACATTTATACTCCTATAGAAGATATTGTCATAAAGAATACAAAGAAAAAAAATGAGGTACTCATTCTTAAACAATCCCCACAGAAAGTACCTTTAATATGAAAGGATTTGTTACAAAAAGGGGAGAAAAGATCACTTTCAAACCTCCTAACTGAACAACTTCTAAATACCTAACAAATGGAGGGACAAAGGAAAAGATTAAGCAGTATCTCTTGGGCACATGATTTTGGTTCACACATATATAATTACAAAAAGCAGAAAATATTCTTACAGTTTCTGATACCGCTGGTAAGGGGCTCCATAGCTCCACATAAATAACTGCATTGACAACTCCGGATAAATATGCATCTCTAAAAGATGCTCTTTTATGTTGATAATTCTACATGCTGCTGGTGGTGTTCAAGGTTCCGAAGTACGATTCTGGCAAATATTTTAGCTTCAATTGGGGCAGTTGCAGCTGCAGCTGCAGCACGAAGAACCCGTGCTGCCCCAACACCCTGCATAAGACTTGCATGATGTATCGCATGCCGACCACCGGGAATGGTAAACTGCAATAGAGAAATTAAGATATGTGAACACCCAGTCAAGTAGCAAAGTACCTATCAAACTTTTGAATTACGAAAGATAAGGAACTAAAAGCGCCGAGAATGGAAATTATTGAGGACCCTCAGACAGTGCTACTACCTGAAGAAGTGCAAATGCTGCACAGGCCTTCAGTATAGAAGAAGGGTTGCGTAGCATGGTGATGAATCTTCCTATTTCAGCTCCACTGAGAAACATAAGACAACACGACATTATACAAAAGAGCAGTGTATTTTCTCTTCTTTTTTCTTTTACACATTAAATAGAGGCGTCCTTTGTCTATCTTCTTTTTCTCTCACATGAGTATTTAGAGTATCAAAGTTAACTTGCAGAGAACAAGAATTTTGCTCCCCATTTCCTTCAGTGAAGGCACGAATATTTCAGAGACTTAAGTGTCAAATGTATGTAACATTAAAGTTGTAGTTTCCGAAAACTAGCATCACATACAAAGGCATTCTAGGAAAGATATTTAACTCGTATAATTCCTTTAATTAGGGTGAGTTAGACAAAGGAACGAAGCAGCTACAAAAATTCTTCCACTTTTAACTCCTCATGTTGGCTGGAAAATTTGAGAGAGAGAGAGAGAGAGAAAAACCTGCATCTTAAATGTCCTGCTTCTTGAATACGAGCTCTTTCTGTTACTTGTGACAATGCTGCTGGAGCAGATGATGCAGCAGCAGTAGCAAATGCTTGTGGATCAGAAAATGTAAGAACAAAAGTTTCGATATGCTTCAAAGCCATCCTTCTAGCCCCATCTAAGCTCACACTCTTTGAGGTGCTTTCTGATGAAGTTCCTATTAGCGCAAATTCATCCATTCTGTACAGTTCATAAAAATTAAAAATATATGTTGAAAGGATTAGCAAAATAGATGAAAGAAAAAATTGGAAAGAGTAACAGAAATTGAAATAGGTTAAAGTTACATAGTAGTACCTGCCATCAAACATGTACGCCAAGGCCAATGCAGCCATGAAGCGTGCCATCTTTGATACTGAAGAACAACATAAGTGAACAAGTGCAGGAACCCCCCCTTCCTCCACTATACGTAAAGCATTCCCAGGGTTAAAAGCAAGATTCCAAAGAGCTCCTGCAGCAGTTTCATGGACATCCTGGAAATGAAATACAATGTCATATCAGGTATTGAACTTCGAGTTGCACTTACTAAGCCATGAAGTATAAGATACTTGGGTATTATTTTTTTCAAACATCATTTATAATAAAGAACATATAATGCTCGATCCTAAAATAATAAAATAATAAATAAATAAATAAAATTACTTACTTCAGCCTCAGAGCGTGCAAGTGCAATCAGAGGTGCAACACCTCCTTCTCGTCCAATAGCAATGCTGATTAACCAACAAATATGTAAGCATAAAATATTATAGGGTAAATGCCCCATATTACAAGAAAATAAGCATTATTCACCATATAATATAACCACCCTATGACTAAATGGGAACATAATTGGGGTGTGGAGGGGTTGAAGAAAATAAATGATTAATAACTGACTAAGTTTAGATTCTATGCCATAGCATACAAGCATAGAATGTGTCTCAATCTGAAGAACTGGATGCTAGAGTTTTTCAGTAAAATTCGGATATTATAAACACATAATTTCAAACATGTGTGTATGCATGAGAGTATGTAACTCATAGAAATACCAATTAGCTTCAGACACCGACAATCCCCAAAGCGCACCAGCTGCCCTCTCTTGCAGACCTGAGGAGGCATTTGAGCAGGATTGTGCAAGGGCAACCTACGTAAACAAAAAAGTTTCAACATGTAGTGACAACGAAAAACATATAATTATACAAAGTCCTAACATTTCTGCTCTATTCATTGCACAGAAGAAACAACAAATTTGCTTGCAGAAAGGAAAAAAAAAAATTATCATTACAGGTCAACAATGAAATACTTTAACCTACAGATCCAGATCAATTTCAACAAAAAGAAAGCCATAACATATTCTCTTTTAGCATACAGGTATCCCCATAGGAATGGTGTTTGCTTTTGTACGCCCTTGATTTATATATAGTGTCCATGAAAATACTAAATTGTCACTGAAGAGCTGCTTCTGCTTAAAACAATCTCTTTCCAACCAAGAATAATACTTCATTAGGAACCACCTAGACATTCAAGTTGTGCCAAAGACTAACTTACTTAGATTACAAAAGATTACCTAAATTACATCTCAACAAACTAAACAACATACCAAAGCCTCAACACCACCAGCTGCTGCTATTGCTTCTCGATTCCTGTCGTCAAATGACAAATTCCATAAAGCACCAGCAGCTTCTTGCCTGTTGATGAATACATGTAATGATGCTCAATAGATAAAATCCATTAAGAACAAGACAATAAGTTATAATTAAGCTAAGTGCACAAGGTGGAGGAAAATTTGCATCGGAGATGGGCAATGCAGATAATACAGAAGCGTCAGGACCCAATTTATATTAATATGTTTACTCAGTTTACCTTTTATAATGTAATTTAAAATAAAATTGTAATGTCTAATAATTGAACAAAGACACAAAGCATAATTACAAAAAAAGGTCAATCAAAAAATGCATCACTGAATTTCAAGAACAGCTTAAGAGATAGCTTCTGGATTAGTAATGAAGTACCTAACACCTTCATGGGGAGAGCGTGTAAGTTGAACAAGGGCTTCAAGAGCACCTGCCTCTTGTCCAACAGCCGAATTGTTACTATTGCTGTCTCCATGAGCAGCCAAATTAGCCAACGCACGGGCAGCCTGGAATATAGCAGATGAGATATCAAAGAACAACAAAATCACACACTTAAAGAGAGAATAGAAAAAAGACCAATTTATCTATGCAAGAAAAAAATTACAAAAGCAACTAAACTGCACTTTAAAAATGCAATGAATAGAAAATTGTTCAGATGACTAAGAACACTAAACTAGTATTACCTGCTCTTGCACTCCCTCAAAGTTGCAATTACGGGCAAGCATCACCAAAGCCTGTACACCACCTGCCAAAGCAACTTCCATACTACACTTGTCATCAGCTGCCAAATTTGCTAAAGCACCAGCTGCACGCTCCTATAAACACAAAATGTGGAAACCAACCCACGGCATAAGCTTATAGAACATCACTCATAGGCAAGTAAAAATAACACATTACAAATAAAGCATGTAATGTGAGCAAATAGTAGTTAGGAATATACCAGAACACCATCACCACCAGAGGACCATTTAAATATAAGATCAACTAAAGCTTTTACTCCACCAGCCTCAGCAATAGCACCCTAATAAAGAATCTCAAATTGTCTCAAAATAAATTTTAAGCATACACCATAAGATGATGAAACCAATAAAAGTTTAACAATATAATTAACCTTATGCTCTTCTCCAACAGATAAATTCCATAGCCCTCCAGCAGCCTCTTCGGCTACCAGCCTATTCATGGACCTTGCCAAATATGCAAGGATATTGATTCCTCCTTCTTCTGCAACAGCTTTTGCAACACTGGAATTCACAGACAAGTTTGCTATAGCCTACACAGTTTAAGAAAATGAAAAAGAAAGAAAAAATTTAGCCTACTACCACATTTTTAGGTAAAATCATGCTCAAAGGTCGTATATTACACTGATAAACTTAGTAATAAATAAAGTAGATGGACTAAAATAAACTGCTCAAGAAAGTCACTGTAGTATATATTTTTCATCAATATTTAATCAGACCAATTTATTATTTTACACGACTACTAAATTTTTCATTGTATCGATTATATATCACTTTGACACCTCAATGTTTTCTTAAAATCCCGTTTAGTTGTTTCATTATGGTGAATTCACCCCTATGTTTCATAATATCTATTTCTCGGCTCCTCATCCAATTTACCACAATAGTTTATCATAATTATCAAATTATACAATTATAGGGTGAGTTCCAACTTCCAAGCACCGGATGTCTGAGAACCATGGGGATTGACAATTACTTTGAGCCAGGAGCCTTTTAGACAACAAAAACACCCCCACATGCTCTGGTATCAGTTCCCCAGTCTGCACTCGAGCTGCCAACTGAACAGAACCAACTATGAAGAGAACAAAAAAAAGCATACGTAATTTTCCAAAATACAGATAAAGGGTTAAACCTAACTGAAGATATTGTCTAAAACAACTTTAACATTTATACTCCTATAGAAGATATTGTCATAAAGAATACAAAGAAAAAAAATGAGGTACTCATTCTTAAACAATCCCCACAGAAAGTACCTTTAATATGAAAGGATTTGTTACAAAAAGGGGAGAAAAGATCACTTTCAAACCTCCTAACTGAACAACTTCTAAATACCTAACAAATGGAGGGACAAAGGAAAAGATTAAGCAGTATCTCTTGGGCACATGATTTTGGTTCACACATATATAATTACAAAAAGCAGAAAATATTCTTACAGTTTCTGATACCGCTGGTAAGGGGCTCCATAGCTCCACATAAATAACTGCATTGACAACTCCGGATAAATATGCATCTCTAAAAGATGCTCTTTTATGTTGATAATTCTACATGCTGCTGGTGGTGTTCAAGGTTCCGAAGTACGATTCTGGCAAATATTTTAGCTTCAATTGGGGCAGTTGCAGCTGCAGCTGCAGCACGAAGAACCCGTGCTGCCCCAACACCCTGCATAAGACTTGCATGATGTATCGCATGCCGACCACCGGGAATGGTAAACTGCAATAGAGAAATTAAGATATGTGAACACCCAGTCAAGTAGCAAAGTACCTATCAAACTTTTGAATTACGAAAGATAAGGAACTAAAAGCGCCGAGAATGGAAATTATTGAGGACCCTCAGACAGTGCTACTACCTGAAGAAGTGCAAATGCTGCACAGGCCTTCAGTATAGAAGAAGGGTTGCGTAGCATGGTGATGAATCTTCCTATTTCAGCTCCACTGAGAAACATAAGACAACACGACATTATACAAAAGAGCAGTGTATTTTCTCTTCTTTTTTCTTTTACACATTAAATAGAGGCGTCCTTTGTCTATCTTCTTTTTCTCTCACATGAGTATTTAGAGTATCAAAGTTAACTTGCAGAGAACAAGAATTTTGCTCCCCATTTCCTTCAGTGAAGGCACGAATATTTCAGAGACTTAAGTGTCAAATGTATGTAACATTAAAGTTGTAGTTTCCGAAAACTAGCATCACATACAAAGGCATTCTAGGAAAGATATTTAACTCGTATAATTCCTTTAATTAGGGTGAGTTAGACAAAGGAACGAAGCAGCTACAAAAATTCTTCCACTTTTAACTCCTCATGTTGGCTGGAAAATTTGAGAGAGAGAGAGAGAGAGAAAAACCTGCATCTTAAATGTCCTGCTTCTTGAATACGAGCTCTTTCTGTTACTTGTGACAATGCTGCTGGAGCAGATGATGCAGCAGCAGTAGCAAATGCTTGTGGATCAGAAAATGTAAGAACAAAAGTTTCGATATGCTTCAAAGCCATCCTTCTAGCCCCATCTAAGCTCACACTCTTTGAGGTGCTTTCTGATGAAGTTCCTATTAGCGCAAATTCATCCATTCTGTACAGTTCATAAAAATTAAAAATATATGTTGAAAGGATTAGCAAAATAGATGAAAGAAAAAATTGGAAAGAGTAACAGAAATTGAAATAGGTTAAAGTTACATAGTAGTACCTGCCATCAAACATGTACGCCAAGGCCAATGCAGCCATGAAGCGTGCCATCTTTGATACTGAAGAACAACATAAGTGAACAAGTGCAGGAACCCCCCCTTCCTCCACTATACGTAAAGCATTCCCAGGGTTAAAAGCAAGATTCCAAAGAGCTCCTGCAGCAGTTTCATGGACATCCTGGAAATGAAATACAATGTCATATCAGGTATTGAACTTCGAGTTGCACTTACTAAGCCATGAAGTATAAGATACTTGGGTATTATTTTTTTCAAACATCATTTATAATAAAGAACATATAATGCTCGATCCTAAAATAATAAAATAATAAATAAATAAATAAAATTACTTACTTCAGCCTCAGAGCGTGCAAGTGCAATCAGAGGTGCAACACCTCCTTCTCGTCCAATAGCAATGCTGATTAACCAATAAATATGTAAGCATAAAATATTATAGGGTAAATGCCCCATATTACAAGAAAATAAGCATTATTCACCATATAATATAACCACCCTATGACTAAATGGGAACATAATTGGGGTGTGGAGGGGTTGAAGAAAATAAATGATTAATAACTGACTAAGTTTAGAGTCTATGCCATAGCATACAAGCATAGAATGTGTCTCAATCTGAAGAACTGGATGCCAGGGTTTTTCAGTAAAATTCGGGTATTATGAACACATATTTTCAAACATGTGTGTATGCATGAGAGTATGTAACTCATAGAAATACCAATTAGCTTCAGACACCGACAATCCCCAAAGCGCACCAGCTGCCCTCTCTTGCAGACCTGAGGAGGCATTAGAGCAGGATTGTGCAAGGGCAACCTACGTAAACAAAAAAGTTTCAACATGCAGAGAAAACGAAAAACATATAATTATAAAAAGTCCTAACATTTCTGCTCTTTTCATTGCACAGAAGAAACAACAAATTTGCTTGCAGAAAGGAAAAAAAAATTATCATTACAGGTCAACAATGAAATACTTTAACCTACAGATCCAGATCAATTTCAACAAAAAGAAAGCCATAACATATTCTCTTTTCGCATACAGGTATCCCCATAGGAATGGTGTTTGCTTTTGTACGCCCTTGATTTATATATAGTGTCCATGAAAATACTAAATTGTCACTGAAGAGCTGCTTCTGCTTAAAACAATCTCTTTCCAACCAAGAATAATACTTCATTAGGAACCACCTAGACATTCAAGTTGTGCCAAAGACTAACTTACTTAGATTACAAAAGATTACCTAAATTACATCCAACAAACTAAACAACATACCAAAGCCTCAACACCACCAGCTGCTGCTATTGCTTCTCGATTCCTGTCGTCAAATGACAAATTCCATAAAGCACCAGCAGCTTCTTGCCTGTTGATGAATACATGTAATGATGCTTAATAGATAAAATCCATTAAGAACAAGACAATAAGTTATAATTAAGCTAAGTGCACAAGGGGGAGGAAAAGTTGCATCGGAGATGGGCAATGCAGATAATACAGAAGCGTCAGGACCCAATTTATATTAATATGTTTACTCAGTTTACCTTTTATAATGTAATTTAAAATAAAATTGTAATGTCTAATAATTGAACAAAGACACAAAGCATAATTACAAAAAAAGGTCAATCAAAAAATGCATCACTGAATTTCAAGAACAGCTTAAGAGATAGCTTCTGGATTAGTAATGAAGTACCTAACACCTTCATGGGGAGAGCGTGTAAGTTGAACAAGGGCTTCAAGAGCACCTGCCTCTTGTCCAACAGCAGAATTGTTACTATTGCTGTCTCCATGAGCAGCCAAATTAGCCAACGCACGGGCAGCCTGGAATATAGCAGATGAGATATCAAAGAACAACAAAATCACACACTTAAAGAGAGAATAGAAAAAAGACCAATTTATCTATGCAAGAAAAAAAATACAAAAGCAACTAAACTGCACTTTAAAAATGCAATGAATAGAAAATTATTCAGATGACTAAGAACACTAAACTAGTATTACCTGCTCTTGCACTCCCTCAAAGTTGCAATTACGGGCAAGCATCACCAAAGCCTGTACACCACCTGCCAAAGCAACTTCCATACTACACTTGTCATCAGCTGCCAAATTTGCTAAAGCACCAGCTGCACGCTCCTATAGACACAAAATGTGGAAACCAACCCACGGCATAAGCTTATAGAACATCACTCATAGGCAAGTAAAAATAATACATTACAAATAAAGCATTTAATGTGAGCAAATAGTAGTTAGGAATATACCAGAACACCATCACCACCAGAGGACCATTTAAATATAAGATCAACTAAAGCTTTTACTCCACCAGCCTCAGCAATAGCACCCTAATAAAGAATCTCAAATTGTCTCAAAATAAATTTTAAGCATACACCATAAGATGATGAAACCAATAAAAGTTTAACAATATAATTAACCTTATGCTCTTCTCCAACAGATAAATTCCATAGCCCTCCAGCAGCCTCTTCGGCTACCAGCCTATTCATGGACCTTGCCAAATATGCAAGGATATTGATTCCTCCTTCTTCTGCAACAGCTTTTGCAACACTGGAATTCACAGACAAGTTTGCTATAGCCTACACAGTTTAAGAAAATGAAAAAGAAAGAAAAAATTTAGCCTACTACCACATTTTTAGGTAAAATCATGCTCAAAGGTCGTATATTACACTGATAAACTTAGTAATAAATAAAGTAGATGGACTAAAATAAACTGCTCAAGAAAGTCACTGTAGTATATATTTTTCATCAATATTTAATCAGACCAATTTATTAAGTCAAAAAAAAAAATAATAATAAAAAAAAAAAATAAATAAATAATAAAAAGATAAAAACTACTTAATGAAAATTAGTTAACACAAACATCGCAGGTGGGCTAAGATCATCACTATTTCTCCATTAAATAACTTACCTTTGCAGCCTCTGATTGAAGCCCTTCTCGCCAGGATTTTGCAAGGTCCAACAGAAGACGTATGCCACCATCTTTCATAACTGCTTCAGCCCTTCCACAATCTATGCTAGCACTTATATCATTAATGACAACAAAGGTTGCAAGTCCAGTAGCCGCTCTTTCTTGAACATCCTCTTGTGAGCTCTGCATTAAACTGAGCAACAGGGCTGCACCTTGTTTCAGCCAGAAATCATCCAAACCCTGAGGGTTGCTCTCAGCAGTACGCAGAAGTGTATGGGAAAGAATCCATTCAAGCCAAGTCATAATCTCATCCAATTTTTTATCTTTAGTTTTTGAATTCCTCCAATCCAGAAACACATTCTTCTCTTTCTGTGTAGTATCGGCAAATAAAGAAGCTAGACATTTAAAAACATCGGTAAAAAGGGAAACTAAGAATTTGCCTTTATTCTTAACTGTGCCAAAATTGGTATCCTCTTCAAGAATTGGACAATTCAAGGCACACAAAACCTTCAAGCTCCTGGAAGAAGATAGCAATCTGGCAATAGTAATTGGACCGACATCAGTTCTTGAAACATCCAACCCAACTAATTTAGGCAGCTTATGCCAACTCTGTGCAACCACACCCCATTTCATATTTGAAGTCCCTGCAACTGAGAGAAAGCGAACAGATGATACATTTCCCAATGCCACCTCATCAATATTCAGGCAGTCTAAAAAACCAATTTCTGCTAAATTCAGACAATGCTTAGCCAAAGCATTGATGGCATCGGCATAAATATCCCTAATCCCAGACAGTCGAAGTTTCTTCAATTTGGGACAGCAAAGAGCTATTGCTTTGATGGCATCACTAGTGATCCTCTCACAGAAGTCAGGCCCAAGTTGAAGGCTTTCCAGTGCTTCATGACGAGCCACGATCATAGACAAAGTTGCATCAGTTATTTTCCGACAGTAATCACCACTTATTTCTTGCAAATTCCTAGACTGAAGGCATATTATCGCATCTGCAGACTCTGCACCACGAAATCTAAGCTTCCGAAGATTCACACATCTACAAGCAAGCGAAGCTGCCATAGTAGCATCACATTTATGCGCACGAAGATCCAACGAACTCCACAAACATGGAGAACCACCTAAAGCTCTCCATGTCTTACATGTTGATGACAAGCTTGCCCGGTCTCTATAATTCAGACTTGAAAACAGCTGAATCACTGTGTCATCAGGCAAACTGGTCCAATCGACATCCCCACTTCGATCAGCTTCTAAAACCTCGTCCTCAACTTCAGGGTAACACGGTAAAACAACCTTCTCCTTCCCCTTCTTTGCCACTTTACGCCTCAATCTACGACTCATATCTCAATCAATTCACAGATGTCAGCTACCAATACCCTTTAACCTCAATTCCCTAAAGTCTTTAATGAATTAAGGAAAACAAAATGACCCATTAGTTAATGAACCCTCGACCTCCAATCCAGTTCACAACCCACTAAGTAACCAAGAAAACAATAGACTTTGACCCCAAAAACCCTAATCCTCAAACAAGTAAAGGAATTGAATATAAAAGATTGATAATTTATAAAAATTCAACCAACTGATAGTAAAATTTATAATGGTGAACGCATTGCAGAGACAAAAGTCAATGGTTTCATCAAACCTCAGAGCTCAGGCTTTGTGGGTTTGTAGGTAAACCCTTAAATCTGGAATCTTGTGAAATAAATCACTTGCCTTTCATGAGATTGCACACAACAACTTCAATGTAAAAAACTGTAAGATAAAACAATAGATAGTAAAATAGATAGATTGATAGACAGAGAGAAGAGGAGAAAGTTGAACAAGGGTCGGAGAGAATTCAGGTTTCAATGAGAAGAAAAGCCAACCAAACCCTCAAAGACATATGGTTTCACTTTTGTCTCCTAACTTTCTTTCTTTGTTATTCGGCCAAAAAACTGAAAGACAGAAAGAGAGGTGATTGTGATGAGTTTATAGGGATAGGGAAAAATATTTGGAACAAATTTACAGCAACAACATTTATCAAAGATTAGAGAACAGTTTAATTAATGGTATGATACTACAGCTCACAATGTTGTCTTAGAATTTTAATTAAATTTCAACACATGGTTTATAATGTATACATACATGTATTTATATTTTTTCTACTGCCGACATATACTCGTATTCAAATAGAAGAAATTATTTTCCAAATTAAAGAATATGACAAAGGGAGATAATAAAGTTTTGTTTAATATTTAAGTATGAACTTTCCAAAGATCAAAGTTAAGCGTCGATGCATTTTGTTAAGAGTAATAATAAGAACATGTTACAAAAGAATCAACTTTGTTGCATGTGTATTGTCTAACCAATTTGTTCACTGTTCACCACGTTTACAATTATACTTGTATTCTTGGGGTAGATAGAACTATTCAAGTCAATAATATAACATGTAATTTTGACCGACAATGACTCGTGTTTGAAAGGTCTAAGCCTAACCTTAATTGGAATGGTAAATAGTAAATACGCATACACATTTTATCATCCAAAGTTGTTTGTATAACAACAATGGATAAGGAATAGGCAATGAAGCAATTCAATTTGCATACGGGTACAGATGTATTGCTAAAGGTAGATATGGTGATATGATGAAGGCAAATTGTGAAAATGGTGTGACTCAAAGTGGTACCATTTTGGTTTCCTTCTTAAATTTGTAGATGACCCACGTCTTCCACCAAATGTCAAACTACATTCGTCATAGGTAGTCTAACAATAAGGACGAATTAAGAGGATAGCAATAGTTTAATCTATAGTCTTAGGTTTGATTTTTTCATTGAACGTAAAAATAATATATTTATCTATGATTTACTTTAAGGGTCATGATAATAGATTGTTATTTAATTAAGATATCGTATACATTCATCGGAACATCTCAGTTATTAAAAAAAATACCAAACTAAACAACTGTTTATTGTAGAGCAACCATATAAAGTGAAGCCCATTATTGATCTTGAAAAAATAAAATTAAAGGAAATAATAATTATAAAACGGTAATTTGTCTGTTTAAGCCCCCTGATTGAATCTAGCACAGCTGTGTTGACCCAAGGTTAAAAGCTGAAGCCCTGGTCCATATGTTACGAACTTTACTGCAATCAAACACGAGTTCAAATCAAACAGCGTTAACGTAAGGAACTGTACTTGCTACACCGGACCAAATTCACTTCTAACATATAAATACAATAAATGCGATGCAAAACCTGACACGTTTTTTTGTCTTCGAGGCACGATGGGAGGTGAAGCTCTGATCCATAAAAGCAACAGTAATCCAGCGTCTTCCTCATCATCCTCCACGTGCTTTTCTCATTTCTGGACCTCAGCTCTCAGAACCAAAACCCTAACCTCACCCAACGTCTCTACAAATCATGGCGATGAACTTTTGCGACGCCTTGGCCTCTTCGAACTCGTACTCATCGGTGTTGGTGCTTCTATCGGCGCCGGGATATTCGTTGTCACCGGCACTGTTGCTCGTGACGCCGGTCCAGGTCTGTATTTGATCAAATTTTCAATTTCGATAACTAAATGGTTCATATTTTTTTTTCTTAATTAATCGAATTCTATCCGGCATCATGGGAGTGGGTAAAAGTCCAATAATTCCCTTTTGTTTATAAAATTACAAAAACACCCCTGGAAAGAACACTAAACGTCAGTCACTTGGTGTACACAAAGTCACAAACAATAAGTGTTGTTTTTGCAGTTTCAGAAAGCATACGAATTACGAGGTTCAGTGTATTGTAGGTTAACCACGGGGCGTTATTGTAATTAATCCTAAAATTCATGAATTTAACTGTTGTTTGTTCATTAATCGCAGGGGTTACAGTTAGTTTCATACTTGCTGGAGCGGCGTGTGTGTTAAATGCACTCTGTTATGCTGAGCTGGCGTCTCGTTTCCCTGCTGTTGTTGGCGGAGCATACTTGTATACATATACAGCTTTCAATGAACTTACTGCTTTTCTTGTTTTTGCTCAACTTATGCTCGACTATCATATTGGGGCAGCTAGCATAGCTCGAAGCTTAGCCAGCTATGTAGTTACAGTTCTTGAGCTCTTTCCCTTCTTCAAAGATAATATACCGAACTGGATTGGACATGGCGGTGAAGAGTTCCTTGGAGGAACTCTTTCTATCAACATTTTAGCTCCAATTCTCCTATCACTTCTTACCATAATACTATGTTGGGGTGTTGGGGAATCTTCAATTTTGAACTCGTGCATGACTGCCTTAAAGGTGCTCCTTCTTTCTCACAGCTTATATAATGTAGCTTTTGGTATATGTTGCTGGCATCTGATGTGTTCCAACTTTAAGAGTACGAGGGAGGAGGACCTGAAAAATTTGTAAATTGAATATCTTTGAAAGTGAGAATCAGAATTATAAGGCTTCAGGAAAAATAGTGGTGTTAGTGACAGAGTTGTACATGCTTGGTGCTGATATTTACTCAAATTGTGCTGCAGGTTACAATTGTCATTATTGTCATCTTTGTCGGTGCTTTTGAAGTTGATGTTTCAAATTGGTCTCCTTTTGCTCCAAATGGCTTTAAAGAAATATTGACTGGAGCTACTGTAGTATTCTTTGCATATGTAGGGTTTGACGCAGTTGCTAATTCAGCTGAGGAATCTAAGAAACCTCAGGTATGTAATATTAATCTGATTGATGTCATCTGGTGCGAATGTGTTGTCTGTGAATATCTTTTGTGATTTTCTCTATATTGATTATGCTTTTACATTCTATTATGTACATTTATTTGTTCCTCTTTCTTCCAAATTTGACATTTCAGCGGGATTTGCCAATTGCCATCTTGGGAAGCCTTCTAATATGTGCTGCATTATATATCGGCGTTTGTTTAGTCATCACTGGGATGGTACCTTACAAGTTCCTTGGTGAAGATGCTCCTTTGGCAGATGCTTTTTCATCCAAGGGGTTGAAATATGTTTCTGTTTTGATAAGTGTAGGTGCTGTGGCTGGACTTACAACCACCCTTCTAGTTGGTCTTTATGTTCAGGTGAGTCAGTTCTGACTTTTTCATTACTGACTTGCCTTTGCCATGTAAATGTTAGTAATGGGATGTTTCTATGAGCAGTCTCGGTTATATCTTGGGCTTGGAAGGGATGGTTTACTGCCTTCTATATTTGCTAAAGTGCACAGAACACGCCACACTCCTGTTCATTCCCAGATTTGGGTTGGTATTGTTGCTGCTCTTCTGGCAGGGCTATTTAATGTGCATGTGCTCTCACACATTCTTTCAGTTGGCACATTGGTATAACGTTATAACTTTCTTTTTTTCCTTTTTAATTTTAAATTAATCTGCTTTCTGAGTGCGACCATTTTTGTGTAACTTCTGAATTTGCATTACTTTCTGGCTTTTAGCTTCATTCTAAAATAGGATTTTCAGGGGTGCCAGGAAGTGGCACATTTGATGAGTATATTTGAATTTTTTGCAGTATTAATTGCAGAAGAGTGCCTGTAACTAATTTGCTCAAACATAGGGATGATATCAGATTGGCATGTGGAGCTCACATTGTATTTTGGCTTGTTTTCAGACAGGTTATTCTGTTGTTTCAGCATGTGTTATAGCTCTTCGTTGGAAAGATAAGACAGCAAATCGAATTCCTTCAAGATGGACTTCAGCCTGGCGGGAAGGTGTCATTTGTCTTGTCGTAATTGCTGCTTGTGGTTTCGGTGGTGGACTATGTTACCGTTTGAGTAGTGCATATATTTTTCTGCTCATACCAGGAGTTATTGCAGTAATTGCTTGTGCCGCTCTTTGCCTCCGTCAAGTGAGTATCAATCTATACTCTATACATAAGGGATGTTTGTTGTAATTTATTGCCTACTGCCTGACATGAAAGGTAGTATAATTAGTACGAGGTCCATCGTATATGTTAAATATTTTTAGTTCTGAACCTTTTATCCCTCTAGAAGGCAAGACTCTTAGCACTTGCAGCAATAATGTGGAGCAGTGTTGGGGAGGGAGTGTCAGTTAATTTATCATCGAATATAATTAATCGACTGCTTATTAAGTTATAAATGGGCTTGTTGATGTGGTATTGAATGCAGAACTGCAATCACCGGTTGATAAGGACTGTGAGACATTGCTCTTCTGCTTGAATTTACCATAATCATCACACTGTCTGAGTGTATTGTGGATATTGTTTTCTCTATCTCACCTTCCTTTATATATCCTTGTTTCAGGCCTATGCACATCCTCCAGGTTTCTCCTGTCCTGGTGTTCCCATCGTGCCAGCCGTTTCCATCTTTTTTAACATGTTCCTTTTCGCTCAGGTATGCTTATGGACAAACCTAATCTTATATGCTTTCTGCAACTTCTTATGTCACGTAGCTGATAATTTAACTATTGCAAAGCTACCAATAACCATCATCTCCTTCCATGCAGTTGCACCATGAAGCTTGGTGGAGATTCATCATCCTTGGCGTTATTACAATTGGTTTGTATGCAGTTTATGGACAATATCATGCGAATCCAAGTTCAGATACAGTTATCTATCATAGGGCACCTCTACAAGAAGCTCAGTAATGACATGTTGAAACTGTTCAAAACTCATTGCTTCTTGATACGGCCTGTACCCTGTTGTAATATGTCATTGTGTTCTCTATAACGACATGTAGCAGGCCACTTGTATGACGAGATATTGTTGGATTCAATTATTGTTACATTCATTCAATTGAAGGATCTCTAGCCACTGCTATCGTCTTTTGAGGCGGCGATAATATCGTTCATTTTTAATTGTGAATGTAAACAATTATGAAATTCTCAGGCCATCCTTCCAAGGGTTTTAACGAATGAAATACGATATTCGATATTCTTCTAAGATTTTGGAACTTATAATCATTTCACTGTTTGAACTTGCCTCGAATGTTTTCATTGCTTTGCGTCAGAACCAGATAATAGTTTTTGGCCAATTTCACAAACGACCTACAAACTGAGAGAAAATCATCGTAATAATAGTAATACGAGAGAATGAGAAGAAAATATTCCTTGACATAATTTCTTGACTGATTAGCAAACATGAATTTTCATTGAAACTCTGATTCATATCCAAAGATGAGAAAGGCAACGAAAGCATTAGCCAGTCAACTGCACACAACATCAGAGTAAAAGCCAATGGTCCTCCTTTGACAATCCTGAACCCCAAGCAATTCCACATCGAACACTTCAAACTGTTTTGAGCTGAAAAATGTAGAAGGTCCCACCTGCACAAAACAAGACGGTATTTTACTAATCAAGTTCGTATAAAAGTGAAAAGAGATAAACAACAATTTGTTACAGACTGGTGGTCCAAGTTCTGGAGGTATGATGATCCTTCTTTTTCCCCCAGGTCTCATGTCTTGAATTCCTTCCTCAAATCCTGCAAAGGTTTTTTTTTTCTATTTCAGCAATTTTCACCATCTACAAATTACAATTGATGTTTATTATTTGTAGAGGAAAAAATAATTCTATGAGGATTCTCTTTCGACCTGGAACCAATGCCTTAGTTCCCATGCGGATTTTGGCAGGAGAACCTTGTATGTAGGTGCTATCAATCCGTCGACCTGATTCATTATAGCCCACATAGTGGAAGGTCACCTGCAAAGAATCTCAAGTAAATGGTGTAGCTCCTGATGGGGATAAGAAAATCTTATAAATAGTTAAAGACTAATTGTGCAATGGATGTGCCTAACAAGTCCTTAACTGCTTTAGTCATTTAATTCATCCTTATGGCTTTGCCTCCTTTTTCAACTAGTTAGTCCAGAGTTTAGGCCCCTTACTGAATAACTTAGAAGTCTACATTAACGAAACTAATCTAGGCCATACAAACCTTCTACACTTAATTACTTGGTTGAAAGATAACAGCTACATAAACAATCTAATGACTAAAAGCAATTTTTTATTTATTTTTATTCCTGTAACAATGAAGACGTCAAACATAACTTGCAAATTGCGCTCATCTAAAGATAATAAAAAGGTTCAAGTGAAATATCACAATTAATCACAAAATTAAAGAAAAGGAACCTGTAGCTTCCAAAGACAATGAAAGTAAAACCTGCTGACCAGCCTTTGGGCAATCACCTTTANCCCCTTACTGAATAACTTAGAAGTCTACATTAACGAAACTAATCTAGGCCATATAAACCTTCTACACTTAATTACTTGGTTGAAAGATAACAGCTACATAAACAATCTAATGACTAAAAGCAATTTTTTATTTATTTTTATTCCTGTAACAATGAAGACGTCAAACATAACTTGCAAATTGCGCTCATCTAAAGATAATAAAAAGGTTCAAGTGAAATATCATAATTAATCGCAAAATTAAAGAAAAGGAACCTGTAGCTTCCAAAGACAATGAAAGTAAAACCTGCTGACCAGCCTTTGGGCAATCACCTTTACCAACTTCAAAATCCCGGTATATAAGTCCTGAATCACGCTTTATGTAACTCTCGGATGCTACTACCTTAACTTCAAAACCTGATACAGATTCACAAAGATTAATACCGTTGCTGGTATCATTGATATTATTTACACAACTAACAACAATTATTTGTGACAAAAGCTCTAAATCATGAGAGAGAGACTCCAATTTCAGACACATTATTTGGTGAAAAAAGGTCTCAAAAATTGAATTGGTGTTCTTCTACATTTCCAGAAGAATGAGATTGCTAATATTTGAAAACACAAACCTTCTCTAACAAAGTTTGGGAAGTCATCGGGTGCATTATTTTCTCTCTGTATACGTTTATTTTGTTCTAGCAAGCGTCTCTCATCATATGGGCTCTTACTCTTTGTCTTCCCAGAAGAAGATAAAGTTGGGAACAAGCCTGTTGAGAACAAAAAAAGAAAGAGAAACCTCCGTTTGGATTCCTCCTTGCAATGAATACTGTACCCATTTTGTACTCTGGCCAAAATAAAATGAAACCAGTGAGAAACTAATTAATCTTAACTAAAAGCCAAAATAAGGGGGCTAATATTAAATTCTCACCCATCATCTTTATTGTTGTGACTGGAGCGACAAAGCACTACATGCTTCTTCTGAGGCAGGAAAGTTGCCACAGTGGGAAATGCTGAATAAGTTTTATCTGCCACAAAGGGTGAATATAAGCACATGGTAACCTATTTGAATTCAGCAGAACAAAATTTTCTTCATTACCGGAAAATATTTGGGATTCGAAGACAACTAAAATTTATATTTATGGAATAATAGAATCAAATTACTTGGAAATGTAATGAGAGAGTTGAAACGTGAATGTTCCAAGCCAAAAAAACAGAGTTCCAAAAACCCAAAAAAGAAAACTATTAGGGAGAGCAGGTAGAGAACTTACAAGGTGAAAAAGTATTTGGTGGAAGAGTGGAAGTTGAGAAAATCATCAGCATAGCTTCTATGAAGCACAATGACCCCTTACCAATCCCGGCTGCTCTTCGTGTTATCTTTAGCTGGGTGGTTGAACACTAATATCATTTGTGCCCCTGCTGTTGTTCAATATTACTTATGCACCCTCATTTCTGTTCTCGTTTATTTATTTTCTCTTTTATAACGTCTTATTTTTTATTTTATTTTTTTGTAAATATAAGAAAATGAAAATCCAAATCTATAATAACACACTACCTGTAAATTTGATTTGATCTAAAACGAAAGGATTTGGATTTTTTTTTAGATATAGTAATTGCTACAAATTCAAAAGTAGCATATTCCAAGTGTGTTATAAATTCCCACTATAAAGAAAAATAAAAGCAAAAGAATTTTTTCTTTTATGAATTGCCACAAATTCAAAAGTAGCAGATTCCAAGTGTGTTATAAATTATAATGTAAGGCAAAGCTTTCCTTCCGAAAGAAACACAAGATCTCACGACACAATCAGGAAAATGCCTACCGAAGGGCACATTCACCAATGTTCACTCCTATGTTCAACAAAAAACCAAAAATGAAAATGAAAACAAAATAAATAGTGACATCTTAATAAACCCGGATGTCAAAGCCAAGACTCCCCAACTGATCAGTGCTCACTGAGTTTCTAAGCTTCTTTTTAGATGTTTCCTGGTCAGTATGGCACCGAAGCCACCAGCATGAAAGTCTAGCAATAGCTGCTTGACTAGCAAATTGAACCCTGCAACCTAGACTCGCTTCTGCAAACATCTCATTCCTTGATACACCTGAGTCCTTGCTAGCGTCATATCCATCAAGGTCCAATTCTGTTACAATAACTACAGAGCTATCATCAAAGGCTGTTGTTTCCTTTTCTGCTGGGAGAGCTAGAGATTTGCCGGCTGTCTTGCAGTCAGAGCTTCCAGTTTTTTTCACCTTGTAAAGATAGTAGTCTTGAACAGCCTGCATTATGGAAATTCATAAGTAAACTCAGGAGCAAACTTCGCTGCATGGAAGCAACTAATCTTTGAACAAGTTAGTGACTGTACTATGATTTGAAAAGCACAAAAGCAATGGAGTGATTCTGATTAGTTTCTTCTTTTTGTTATTTCTAGGTGAAATACAAACATTTACAGTGATGCTAACTAAAAATCAGAACAGCAGGTGCTGGTCCATCATCCCCACTGCTAATTTAATCGTCCTTCTTCACCACCTTTCACTGTACTTCCATTGTTTGGTTCTAAGAGGAATAGTAGTCTCATGGCATAACAAAAAGTGATTTGCACAGTGAAGATGACAGAAAAGCCCTTAATTTAAGGGACTATTAAAACTGTGCTCCAGCTTATTACGAACCAATTGCTGATTCCCATGTCAGGCGTCAATTGTGAACCTCATCATATCAGAAGTAGAATCAGCAGATCGTAACTCACATCATAAAATTAAGCAGTACTAAGTTGAGATCTTGAGTTCCCAACAATGTTAATTGCTACAAATTAATATGCTGGTGGAGAAAACAGAAATAAAAAAATCGCTGGTCAAGCATGAAAATTCAATCATACCTGCCACTGCGAAGAGGCCAAAAGTACTCTTGGCCTGATAGATTTCACATGTTCATATGCAACAGCAGGAGTCATTTGTCTGTGCTCCACCTGTTACATTCACAGTCTCGCACTAGTTAGAAGAAAAAATTATAAACTAACTCGGTTATTATATTATATGTTCATCAGTGTGTACCAGGTAGCAGAGAACAATGGTTGTGCTACGCCCTCGGCCTGCCTTGCAGTGAACATATGTTGTCTTCCCAAGAGATGCATTTTCTTCACAATGCAAACAAGAACAGAAATTTAAAAAAAAAAAAAAAAANGTGGGAAATGCTGAATAAGTTTTATCTGCCACAAAGGGTGAATATAAGCACATGGTAACCTATTTGAATTCAGCAGAACAAAATTTTCTTCATTACCGGAAAATATTTGGGATTCGAAGACAACTAAAATTTATATTTATGGAATAATAGAATCAAATTACTTGGAAATGTAATGAGAGAGTTGAAACGCGAATGTTCCAAGCCAAAAAAACAGAGTTCCAAAAACCCAAAAAAGAAAACTATTAGGGAGAGCAGATAGAGAACTTACAAGGTGAAAAAGTATTTGGTGGAAGAGTGGAAGTTGAGAAAATCATCAGCATAGCTTCTATGAAGCACAATGACCCCTTTACCAATCCCGGCTGCTCTTCGCGTTATCTTTAGCTAGGTAGTTGAACACTAATATCATTTATGCCCCTGCTGTTGTTCAATATTACTTATGCACCCTCATTTCTGTTCTCGTATATTTATTTTCTTTTTTATAACGTCTTATTATTATTATTATTATTTTTTTTTTTTTGTAAATATAAGAAAATGAAAATCCAAATCTATAATAACACACTACCTGTAAATTTGATTTGATCTAAAAATTGACCACCCCTTAGTACAATTCAAACTCAAGATAAGGGGCGAAATAATTTAGATTTAACTAATAATATATGATTTTATGAATGAATTATACATATACGAGGATTAAAATTTCCCACTATAAAGAAAAATAAAAGTAAAAGAAATTTTTCTTTCATGAATTGCTACAAATTCAAAAGTAGCATATTCCAAGCGTGTTATAAATTATAATGTAGGGCAAAGCTTTCCTTCCGAAAGAAACACAAGATCTCACGATACAATCAGGAAAATGGCTACCGAAGGGCACATTCACCAATGTTCACTCCTATGTTCAACAAAAAACCAAAAATGAAAATGAAAACAAAATAAATATTTGACATCTTAATAAACCCGGATGTCAAAGCCAAGACTCCCCAACTGATCAGTGCTCACTGAGTTTGCAAGCTTCTTTTTAGATGTTTCCTGGTCAGTATGGCACCGAAGCCACCGGCATGAAAGTCTAGCAATAGCTGCTTGACTAGCAAATTGAACCCTGCAACCTAGACTTGCTTCTGCAAACATCTCATTCCTTGATACACCTGAGTCCTTGCTAGCGTCATATCCATCAAGGTCCAATTCTGTTACAATAACTACAGAGCTATCATCAAAGGCTGTTGTTTCCTTTTCTGCTGGGAGAGCTAGAGATTTGCCGGCTGTCTTGCAGTCAGAGCTTCCAGTTTTTTTCACCTTGTAAAGATAGTAGTCTTGAACAGCCTGCATTATGGAAATTCATAAGTAAACTCAGGAGCAAACTTCGCTGCATGGAAGCAACTAATCTTTGAACAAGTTAGTGACTGTACTATGATTTGAAAAGCACAAAAGCAATGGAGTGATTCTGATTAGTTTCTTCTTTTTGTTATTTCTAGGTGAAATACAAACATTTACAGTGATGCTAACTAAAAATCAGAACAGCAGGTGCTGGTCCATCATCCCCACTGCTAATTTAATCGTCCTTCTTCACCACCTTTCACTGTACTTCCATTGTTTGGTTCTAAGAGGAATAGTAGTCTCATGGCATAACAAAAAGTGATTTGCACAGTGAAGATGACAGAAAAGCCCTTAATTTAAGGGACTATTAAAACTGTGCTCCAGCTTATTACGAACCAATTGCTGATTCCCATGTCAGGCGTCAATTGTGAACCTCATCATATCAGAAGTAGAATCAGCAGATCGTAACTCACATCATAAAATTAAGCAGTACTAAGTTGAGATCTTGAGTTCCCAACAATGTTAATTGCTACAAATTAATATGCTGGTGGAGAAAACAGAAATAAAAAAATCGCTGGTCAAGCATGAAAATTCAATCATACCTGCCACTGCGAAGAGGCCAAAAGTACTCTTGGCCTGATAGATTTCACATGTTCATATGCAACAGCAGGAGTCATTTGTCTGTGCTCCACCTGTTACATTCACAGTCTCGCACTAGTTAGAAGAAAAAATTATAAACTAACTCGGTTATTATATTATATGTTCATCAGTGTGTACCAGGTAGCAGAGAACAATGGTTGTGCTACGCCCTCGGCCTGCCTTGCAGTGAACATATGTTGTCTTCCCAAGAGATGCATTTTCTTCACAATGCAAACAAGAACAGAAATTTAAAAAAAAAAAAAAAAATTTAAAAACATACTGAAGAAATGCAAAATGCAAAATTCAAAATTCTCATCTTGGATATAGAACAGCAAAGCAAAGCTTGGTCAGCAAGAATGGCAAAAACCACCTGAGCTACCACTCTGAAATCATGTTAAGAAGTTAAAAGTAATTACGAGAACAAACTTGTAAACTAATCAAACTCAACAAGGACGGGACTTCTTGTAGTAGCTTGACTCCTTAAAATGTGTTTGCTTCTCCAGAAAGATGGCATTCAACAGCCATTCATGATATGCAAGTAGCCAGTCACAACTTACTAAATTCAGTGTGAAAAAACACTCCACAATAACAGAAAATAAAGAGAGAGCAGAATTTAGTTTAGTTTTGAACATGAAAAATGACAGTGATTTAAAACCCAATTATGCCATGATGTGGTAAGATAAGACTCATAACAGCTCGTGTATTAATGAGGGACTGGAGTATGCAGCATAATGCAAATTCTGACACGAACTAAATTCAAGTTTTAAAGTTATAAACTCATAACAGTAGATTCAGTTTAAGCATTTCACCATCAATGAATGTTACATGCCTTGCAGTGCATATAACTAACTAATTTAAGAGAATATTACCATGTATAAAATCTACAGCTAGGCATATATCAGCAAATGATGGGGCAAAAAGATAGTCTCTTGTAGGAATCACCAGATGATCAATGTTGTGAGCCTATGGGAACAATTAAACAAAGAATTTATGAGCATTGACACTGAGGCATACATTTAAGAAAACAAAAGGTCAGAGGCTATTGATAAAAATACCAATTTGAAGTGTCCAAAAACAAATGAAAATCAGTCAGTTCAAAAAGTGCTTGTATATTAGTCTTCCTAAATGCGATGGGTCAACATTTATATCATAATCAAAAGACCAAGGACAAAAATTGAGTCTGTAGGTCAAGGAAAAGAATCAAATGAACCGGGCTCAATGAGCAACACTGGTTATTAGCAAAAGTTTCAGACCCTCTTGAATTTGAAGCAGCCATGGTTAGCAAAAACTATCAACACTAATTGTATACTCACATGATATAGTGATGATGGAACCAAAGTCTCATATGGTTCATTTAGAGTCACCACTCCAGCAACACCAAGTTCTCTCAAGCGAGGGACATCAGCAACAAATGGAACAGCACCTAATAAAACAAACTGAAAACAGGCAGATGAGCACTGCATCATAAAAATGGTAGAGGTTTTGGAACACACAACGTTATGCAACACCAGGACAAAAACGAAACAACCTTTATGAGGCAAAATTGAACTCCACACATGCAGGATGCAGCAACAAATTATTACAAAGAACAGCAGATGCACAATCACTTGAGGCATATACCAGAACCAACTTTATTCACAAATCCAAGAAAACCCAGTTTTCCATTTATTGTTTTATATTTAAAATTTTTAAAAATAAAGCAGCTCAGTCGGCAGGCAGCAATGCGTACATTTTCAGAAAAATCAACCAATTGGAACTTATTATTCGCAGAGCTAATTAAAACATCAGACATTACCACTCAAGACCGTGATTCAACAGCAACCATATGAGACTAACCAAACCAAATATAAAATTTCCCCCTCGTTTTTTCTCCTACCTTGGATAAAAATGCAATATTTTTCATCATCATACACTGAAAGAGAAGTTATAAAAATTACGGTCGAAAAACATACATTGAAAAGAACAATGAAATAAATTCATTGAAACTGTGTTATACCTCATCGACTCGATCCCACCATCGAAATTCAGATTGAATTTTGTTTCTAATTACATTGTAAACCAGCGTCGGGTAAAACAGAGCACGAGCCCCAGCTCCAATCAAAACGTGTTTGGCATCCCGAACAACAATGCTACGATCGTCGTTTGATTGATATTGATTCACACCCTCAATATACATTCCTCCCTTTGTGTTTATGGAAGTAAATAGACAACCAAACAGAATATAAAGAAAACACACCCAACAAATTCAAGTTTAATAACACCAACCCCAATTCTTGAAACCGAATACCGCTATTTAATAATGAATTCGAGAATGTGCATGTTCTATCTGGAAACCTTTACAATTTCTACCAAATTAAAGATGCTAGAAAATCGATGGACAAGAATAGTATGAAGAGGGATCAGGAACAATGAAAAAGTTGTGGTGCCAACGGTCCAAATCAGACAAGCATTTGATGAAGCCATTTTTATTTTATTTTTTTATTTCCTAAAACCCGTCAACAAATCACCTTTCCCTTTCTCTCAACAAACCCTCCAAAACGAAATTAACGCTGCACGTTTATCTATTAATATGGTTTAATATATATGTATATATATATATATATATACAGTAAAACCGTATTGGCGCCTTCGCGGTTTAGCCTAGCGTCAGTTAAACGCAAGCGTTTTGTAATCTTTGCGTCATTACAAAGCCATCGTTTCATCACAACCAAACATGAAATTCAACACCATCTGCTGGATTCATCATTTTCAGCAATTCCTTGGTGATTGATGGCAGTGTTCTCCGTGAGACTTACAACAGGTGAGGTGACAGTGTAAGATCATATTGAGAGACGTACATCAGGTGACAGTGTCAGATCATATAGATGAATAAAAAAAGTTTTTTTTTTCTGTTTTATATTTTACATATACAATTTTTTTCTTTTCAGCAGATTCTTGACTTCAATAAGCTGTTATCTGGTTAACTGTTTTGCATGAACGCTTGGGATCTTGAAGATGTTTCATCAATATTAGGAGCTGTAAGTATGGCTATTCATTCTCTTCTTTAATTGAAGAACGCGTATCAAATAATTTAAGAGTCGTGAGAAGAAAAAATATAAAGTCAAATTTTAAGGCTTGTAGGCTGCATAAATTCTTCAAACCTGCGCCTGCCTAGGAAAAATTGAGGTGCTTCTCAAGAAAGTTAACAAATAATATCAAATGGAAGTACCGCATAATTAGTAGAACCATTGTATGCAGAGAGTGAACAGATTTACCCTGCTCAATTTCAAGCACGAAAATATAATTTACTGAAAACATCATTTGAAATATGTCTTGAGCTGATCAATGATGCAAAATACTTGAAAAGAAATAAAATAAAGCATCATCATCTGATTCATAGGAGAATTGAGAAAAGTATTTTCGGTTCTCCTATGGATTTGGTGGATGCAGAGGAAACAAACTTCCATCTAATAGTATAGATGAGAACATAACTAATCACAAAAGGAGATAAAAATAAATAAATGTATGGAAACCTGGAGGATCAACCTATCCACTTCGTTAGAAATTTATAAAGAAGCATAAGCATATAGTCACCTAAAATAGTTACGCCCTTTTGATCTGTCTATTGATGCCATTTTCTGAAGCCTAATCTGCTCTCTAAATCTGGCTATAAACTCACCAGCCTTCTTATCAACCTCGTTGGAGTCAGACTCGGCATCAGTTGCGCACTTGTTCACAGCCTCTTGATATGAGTTTAATTGAAAATTTTCAACCTCACTCTCTGATTCTTCTTTAGACACCACGGTGAAATCCTCTGAAGATTCTTTGTCTTTTCTCTTTTGAAACTCTGAGAATGTTGGTTTTTGCATGGGATAGTGGTTATCAAGATCCTGCTTTCTAGCACCAGTAGATTGATTACCAAAGCCTTCACTTTTCATCTCATTTTTTCCCTTGAGAACACCCTCGATTTCGTCATTTGCTGCCTTCCCAATCTCACCTTTGATGTGGTTCCCATCTCTCTCTCCAACACTCATTGTCTCTTCTGTATATCGACGAGTCCTGATAGTCCTAACAGATTTCCCCCTTGATGAAGCTTTAACAGGGTTTGTAGGATTTTCATCCAATTTCAAAGAACTCGATCTCCACTGATTACGGCCTAATAGATACTCTCTTTTGCTTCCACTGCTATCCTTTAAATCATCTTTAAGGCCTAATGCATCCTCTCTTTTGCTTTCACTCCTATCCTTCAGATCATCTTTAAGGCCTAATGAATCATCTCTTTTACTTTCACTCCTATCCTTCAGATCATCTTTAAGGCGTAACAAATCCTCTCTTTTGCTTCCACTCCTATCCTTCAAATCATCTTTAAGGCGTAACAACTCCTCTCTTTTGCTTCCACTCCTGTCCTTCAGATCATCTTTAAGGCGTAACAAATCCTCTCTTTTGCTTCCACTCCTATCCTTCAAATCATCTTTAAGGCGTAATGAATCCTCTCTTTTGCTTCCACTCCTATCCTTCAAATCATCTTTAAGGCCTAATGGATACTCTCTTTTGCCTCCACTCCTATCCTTCAAATTATCTTTAGAGCTTTTTCGTGCATTCTTCCCAAACAAAGAACCATCAGTGTATCTTCGAATACGTAATGCATTCAATGAAGTCTTACCGTTTGTGGGCATGGAAGTTGGAGGATAAGAGTTCCGGATATCCATTTTCAAGTTTTCCAACTCTGAAGAAAGAGTGCCTGAGGAAGAGAGCCTATTTGGCGAATTGGATACTGAACAGGGTTGGGAAGAGTAAGAATCACTGGACCAAAAGGACTGTGATTTCAGGGATTCAAACTGAGTTTCATCAACGGAGAGAGGCCTAAAGTGTGAAGCGTGAGTAGAAATATCTGCATCTCCTCTGGTTTCCATTCTCCCAGATCTGGAACGCCACGGAATTGATGAAGATAAACCAGCAGTTTCATTGAACTTATTCTCCAAGTTCAAAGGACCCAAGTGACCAAAGTTTTCATTGATAACCACATGATTAGAAGGACTGTTTGATAAATCCGTCGAAATTGAATTAGATTCACTTCCATTACTAATCTCAGGACTACCTTGGTTACTTGATCTCAGACTCCTAATTGGTAAACCCAACGGTTTATGACCTATTATCAATCCAGATTCACCATATTCATTCAATACATGATTTGGTTGATCTATTACAACCATCGATTCACCCCTATAGTACTGAGAACTCCATGCTTGACTTACATTATTCTCACTATTTAAAGATCCAGGTTTGGTTTGTTCACTATTCACAGCAAATTCCTCTTTATAGTTATCAGAATACCCAGTTTGGTACACATTCTTGTCACCATACCCATATGAATTATCAGAATCATCTCCAAAAATAGATGAAACATGAAGAACACTAGACACATATGACTGTGGATCATCATTACTAGAGTGAGTTTCAAAATCCATATCAACATTCCGGCGACAAAACAAGCCATAAGACACAGCAAGACCAATAAAGAGAAGGTGAAAAAGGTCCCAAAACTTGGTGAGTATAGTTTGGTTGATAAATTCAGGAGCTTGAGAAGGGAAGAATGGAATAGCAACAAGAAAGAGAGCAAAGAAAAGAAACTTACTGAATAAGTGAGTAAAGGACTTGGCTTGGCCAACACCAACAGGCTGTCTTGTAAGGTTTGCTGGAAGGCGAGTCTTGCCGTACAAGTGCTGTGGATCAGCCATTGATGAAGAAGTGAGTAGGTCTGTTTGAGATTAGGTTTTGTTTTGGGTGTGAAACTGATGAGACGATGATTGATTATCTGATTGATCAAGAAAGGAAGACTTTGAAGCTAAGGAACAGGAGAAAAAGAGGACAAAAGTGGGAGGAGGGAGAGGGTATTCAAAAGTGACATAATTATGAGCATGACCGTTGAATTCATTGACGAAATTGCCCTCACCCCTTGTATTTTCTTCTCTATTTTTGTCAAATAGGTAAATTTTAAGGCAACGGTGAGATAAATTAAAAAATAAAGAATGGACGGCGACGGACAAGACAAGACTAGTGAGCCCCATCACACATAGAACACTGCCTCATGGCTCTTCCGTGAATTAACCAATAATTCTAAAAATGTCAACTGAGAAAACATGGTCTTTATTTTGAACCGTTCATCATAAATCATGTATTTTTCCAGAGAAAACGAATTTGATTATTCATTTGGTGGGATTCCAGGTAAGTATCCTTATTACATAAACAAAGACTTCTTTAACGACACAAAGCACTCAATTGACTCATCTAAATATAAAAGCTGGGTTATTAAAAAGGAAAATTCGTAACTTGAATGAATGCTTCCCTTTACAACATGTCTTACTCATTCTATTAATATTTTAAAGTTTCGTATCAATCAATGAAGTTAATGAATTGGCCCTATTGGATAAAACCTTGTGGCTGTGGATGCTGGAAGCTTCGGCATCAGACAAAATCCAACATAGACTTTTCCATGACGATATGAGCAGCCTTATTGTGATTTGGCTTTGTACTCCGCATCCATTTCTGATCCTTCGGCGTATATTTAAGGGTTTTGGGCTAACAGTATATGGGCCTAATTTTTGTAAACCTGCTGCGTTCTTTCTCCGTGGGCTGCTGCTACTTTCAGCCCGTGGTTCTTTAACATGAAAAGATTGTATAATAATATACAGAGAATAACCAAACAGTCAAATGCATTAAAGATTCACATAACCAAACAGGTAGAATATAATCTCCATGAATAGACAGCCTTTTTAGATAAGAAAAGGCACCAATAAGATACAGTTGAACAAGATGAAATTGTTTTATCTCATAATTGTTCGTTGGTTCATTAGAATCACAAGTATTGTCCCCTTCCATTCCCACTAAATCCCACTTTTTCCACATCAAATCTAAAAGATAATATCATAAATAAAAGATTCAGATTCCCTTGTTTATATCCTTCCAAATCCAAACTCGTTCTACTTCCCACTATAAACACAACCTTCCATCACCTCCTCCTCCTCCACCATTTACACCAATAAAAGATAAAAAGGAAGGCTTCACTTAATACTTTAACAAAATCCTATCCTACTACCCCACGACCATTCATTGATTCTTTTTATCTTTCTAACCCTTTATATTTCCTTTATCAAAATGCCCCTTTCCATGTCCTACAATTACGATCGAGAAGCAGGGGCATCAAAAGGACGATGGTGAATTGGCAATGCAGCCCAAGGATTGATGGGCACTGGCCTTTGCTGGTTCGGACCACCCATTGGGAGGCGAGTGGATCCATTAGGGGCAGGAGCAGCAGAGGATGAGGACACAGCAACTCTCTCACATGAAGGGCACATAGTGAGAGTGGTTGGAGGATTCATGTGCATGTAGAGTTGTGGGGAGAGTTTCAGTGCCCTAAGCTCTTGGACTTCCTTCTGCAATCGTCTGTTCTCCTCTGTTAGATTCTCGCAACACCTCTTTAAGTATTCACAATCCACCTCTGTCTGCTTCAGCTTTGTCCTGGACCAATTTTTGAAAACCCCATTTAATTTTTTTTTATACAAAACGCACCCTATATTTATTGCATTGAAACTGAAAGCTAATAACCACATGATATTGGATGTTGCATGTGAAACTGACAAAATAACAACAAAATTCATAAAGAGTGTCATTAAACATTGGACTGCGAAAGTACAAACAAAATCCCTTAAAATCCTCTTTGTTGAAATGGACAACTCCTTCCTAGTCTATGCAAATACAAGGGACTGAGGGACAGAGGGAGGAGATGAATTGACAATTTAATTAAATTACAAGAATACCCATAAGTAAATACAATAATAACTAACCTTGCCCTTCTGTTCTGGAACCACACTTCAACTTGCCTAGGCCTCAGATTCAACTGCTTTGCCAAAGCCAGCTTTTGCTTCTGTAACAAAATTAACATCAACCAAACAACAATTTTAAGTCCATATTTCAAAAACAACACCATATTCCACCCAAAAAATATTGCCACTCACAGGATTAAGAGTGCTATGCTCCTTGAAGGTCTCTTCAAGCAATAAGGATTGTTCTTTTGACAACCTTAGTTTCTTTCTTGATGCGTCACCAGCACCACCGTCTTCGTCGTCACTACCACGAGAGCAAGAAGCCCTCTCAGCCTCAGTCTCATCACCGATGGGCTCTCTCTCGCTTCTTTTTCCACTAATGCTAGATACCGTGCTATTTGGAGATGAAACCCCGTTTTCTTCATCGCACTCCACCGTTGATGGTGCAATATTCACATCTATTCCTCCTAGGAATGATCTAGTATCACAGTTTCGATCTGCAACGAGTTCGTTTAGGATTAGACTTATTTTTTAGCATTTTTTCTGCAGGTGTTTTTTAATAGGTAATTTTGTTACAAAAATCAATGCATGTAGCTAATAAAGAAAGAAAACCTGGGAAATAAACGTTTAAGATCACAGATCTGAGCGCAAAATTTTGATTTCTTTCTTAACTTAAGATGTCATCTACTAATTAAAAAAAAAAAGTGCACAGGAAGAACAAATATTGCAAAACTACCCGGAAAAACTTGGTAAGACAGTGATGTTGGTTTTCATAAATAACCATTTTTTACTCCCGGGCAAAGGATATAGAAGTTTTACTAAAAGTATGTATTAAATTAAAAAACAAGAAGAGGAAGACGGAGAAGAACATACTAGATGAATGAAATAGCTCGTTCCAGGAAGTTTTCTGGTGATGAATCTGCATGTTATGATGAGAAGGCATAGGCATAAGATTCAACTTAAAGGAAGGCTGAGTCGTTGCACATCCCAAGCTAAGACTCAACCCCAAACCATCATCTTTCTCACCCATCTTCACTTTCTCTCTGAAAACACCAAACAGCCTTGCCTTGTCTCTCTTTCTAAAGAAATTAACCTACAAAGTACTCTCTTTCCCCTTCCTTTATCTGGGTTTTTGCTCTAAATGCCCTAGTGTTTGGACTCTGAGAAAGCAAAAATGGCAGAGGTGGAAAAAAGTAGGCTAGAAAATAGCTGAGTTTGGCAGCCAGAGATGTCACAGCGTTTTGCTTTATGCAGTACAGTGAAAGGATGGGATGGGACTATATATAAAGATATAGAGAGAGAAATTTAATTATACTTTTGTGTCAGTGCCTCAGTGGCCCTATTGGCTCAATGATGATATGTGCGTTGTTATAGGCTTACTTAGCGTGCATGACTTAACCTTGGTTTAAACTTAAAATCACAATAATCATGGTTACTTTGTATTTAACCTTGGTTAAAACACATTGCATCTGAGTTCTTTTAATGTAAGTAAAACCCTTTCAACCACAGTTAAGTGTTGTATAGGTTTTTATTAACTTCCCTTAAAAAGCGGCTTTCTTGCTCGTTGACTATTGACCAACAACCATATAAAGGCTACTGTATCCAATACGCACGAGGCCACGCGCTGGAAATCATCAGATCATGATAGTAAATCATGTGCCACCCATTTTATGTGGGACCCAATCGTAATTATGGAGAGGTTCACTACTGAGGGACCCATGACATGCCTTTTTTACCAGCAACCCAACATCAAATCACGAGTGTAAATAATTGAATCCATAAGTTGTCTGGAGATCGTGATGGCGCGTGGATTTTTGGCTCTGGGCTCAATGGAGGAACTTGATGATATCTGTTGAAGAAATAAGTAATCGAATTAAAGAGCATTTAGGTTCTTCTGGGAAACTCCATTAATGAATGAAACATGCAATTGGTCTTCACTTTTCAGTATTCAAGGCAATTTTTAATTAATATTTTATTTAATTATTTTCTTTGAGTTACTTGTGGGTCAAAATTTCAAAATCAACGGGTCTTCATTAAATTTACAGTCAATTATGAGATAATGGGGGATTATGGGAGTTGCAGTTTTAAACAATCAAATCTACTTAAATGAATAATACTATTCTTTGTTGTAATCCTGTCACAGTTTTTGTATTTTACTTTAATTAGTGCATTAATAAATAATCTAATAATGACATACTAACCATGAATTAATTACATATATATCTGCAATTAGTATAGGTTTAAAATGAAAAATAATAATCCACTGTATAGTCTAACAATAAAGGCAAATCAAAGGGCTCTGCATGGCTTTAATTAACAATCCTAAGTTTGATTTTTCGATAAAGATAATATCTTTATCTGTAATTTATCCAAGACTGTAGCAATGGATTATTGTAAGATTCATTAGTGCATAACACCTTAGTTAAAAAGAAATAATAATGATAACAACAAATATTTGTGGAAATTTGGCCATTTCCAACTGAAAAGCAATGAGTGTATTAGAATATTGAGTGGTAGAAGGATTGGTGACTTTTTTATTTGTATAAAATAGGAAAGTTGTAGCAATAATTTTCCATTACTGTGAGCACCTTTTTCAGATTCTTTATTTATATTGGGAAATATCATTATTGACGAAGAAGACATGTCATAACTACCTTACATGTTTTCCCTGTGTACCTTATCGGGGAACGGGAATAGATGTTGACCAAAAAAAAAAAAAAAAACATCAAACTTTTTTCTCCATCACACAAAAATCAGGCGGTCGAAATTCAAATCAAATTAGGTTAAATGTATATTTCTCTGATCGAATTTATGATAGAAGGGGGTCTATGATTTAAATATAGTGGGGTCCTTAATCTTTGAATGCAACTGAACTGGACGGTCTTGACCTATATCATTGAAACTCAGCATCATGCCTCATCCACCAAATCTTATGTAAATCTATGAATGTGACTGTCACATGATTCTCTTTCAAATTTCAGCGACAAGAGAGTCCTACCAATTAATCAATCATTTCTCTTTGCCAGTTTGTTAATCATTTTAATATTACTTAATATCCTAGTATCAGAATATTTCACGTTAATCATTCACACACATATAATATATAGTTTTTTATTTAAAATATATTTAAGAAAATTATTGTAACATGAAAATGTCAATTGACCTTAGAAGAGACATATTACAACTGGGCACCGGATATAGCTAAATAGCTAGGGCCTAGGAGGATGTTGTAGAGTAATGGGTTAATGGAGGGACAAAGAAGAGTGGAGGTCACGTGAAGAAGGGAAATGAATTTCACGTGCACCACCATGTGGTGCATGGCCAACTTGTAACACGTGGTCCTACAATCACACTCGTGCGTGTCACACTGTCTCTTCACAACCAGACAACAACTTCTCTACAATCATTGGATCCTCTATCTCCCAGGATTTCATGCTTCCTCTCGCTTTTCAATCCCCACGCGTTCCCCAAACTTGCGTTATCATCAAATTCACCTAAACACGAATTATGGCATAAGAGGGGGGGCATGGAACCTTGCAAAAATTATTAGAGAACGACGGAAGCTGTCGGTTTGCATAATTAAGTTTCACCCCACGAGTGTGTCCATTTGCTAAAGAGATGATCGATTGAACAACTTCTAGGATCCGTCTAATATATTGAAGTCGATTATTATTATTTTTTTCTTCCCTGAAGTAGGGACGAAGGCGAGTGTGCATCACGTGAGGAGATGGGTGTAAAACATGGAAAGCCCATAAAAAAAATGTCAGAGTTCACGTGTACAAGCATGTGGCTGTTCTACGTGTAATGTTTTAAAATAATATGACACGTGGTCCAACTTTTACAAAGCCGCGAGTATCATATTGCCCCTTGCTTACTGGACACCGTTCTTTACCAATCATTGAGTACCTCTTGATCACCACTCACCGCCTCAAAATTACCAAAATAAAAATTATTAAAATCTTTTATTCTTATAAAATAAACAATCTAATAGCTTTCAAGTTGTTCACGTATACTTTAATGATTTAATCATTAAGTTGAGTAATCAAAAAATTGGTAGTGATAGAATGAGTATCAATGATTTCTCGTTTCTCATTACCTGCAAACATGTGGAAGCACTATTGTGATAAGACCCAATTAATTATCCTTTTTATATGTGTTGTGTGACAAATTTTGGGAGCATGTATTTATACATGTGTCATTCTTTTTAAGTAATCTTTATTTATAAGTTTGCTATTATAATCATACATAAATTTATCTTTTTTTTTTTTTATTCAAACTTATTTGCACGCACCTCATTATATTTTTTATTAGTAGTCGTGAAAATTAATTCAAAACCTCTTTAATAATTCATCTAATATTCAAAATAAATCGACAATTATCTAAATGAGTATTAGAATTTGCACCAAACATGCAAACACTTTAAAAATCTATTATTGTGTTATTATTTGTTTTCTTATCCATCAATTGATACAACATCAAAATCACAGGTTTCGTATAAACTCTTACACAATTTATTATGAATCTTTTATTTTTCATTTGTGTAATTCACAACATCAATAATTTGTGCTAGAAAAATAATAATGTTAATAAAAAAATTGTTGATGGTAAAATAATTGTCGTGCGTGTTTAATCATTCATGTTGAATTTTTAAGTGTATATAATATGATAATATAAATGATGCTCAAGTGAATTGAATAGCTGCAGTGCTGCACCTAACTGTGTGCCAGATGAGTATTGAAGAGTGCCCACTTGTCCCCACCATGCTTGCTACATGTCGAATTAGTATTTATTTTTATCGATAAAACAATGAATCCTCCTCCGACAATTTTATCTAGCACCACTTCCCGACCGTACTACAGTATCTATTGCTGTTTGTCTCATGTGATCCGCACGAAATTGGTCCAGACAGTTGACCTTTTTCTCTTAATAAATTGCATGCAGTAAAAGTATTACGTAAAAAAAATCTGTAAAACCTTCTTCGCACTACTAATTTAGGCAAATACAAGGTGTTCTAATGATTAAAAAAAAAAAAAAAAAATTTTATAAATTTTTGAGTTCAAGTTTTTCGATATTAATAAGATTGATCATTGAAATTTTATCTAACCGATAGTTTATAAATCTCAAAAAATTAATTGAGATAAGTATATACTAGTTTGAATATCCTGTAATTAAAAAAAGATAATTATTATTATTATTCTTTATACATGTAAAATAATTAAATTAAATACTACCATATATTATATGTTATATTTGGTATCAAATGATGTGACATCGGTTAGAAGTATGTATAATAAATCACATAATCACACATTTTATATGCTAACCTTAGCAATGTAATATCACGTCAAATCAAATCAAGATACAACTTAGGATCTATATATATATATATAGATATATATATATATATATATACAGACTTAGGATATCATTTTTAATTTTGATTTTTCCTTAAATTTTGTTTGAATATCACATCGATTAGGCACGTTTAAACCTACTAATTTATAAGAGGGGGTAATCCTCTCATTCAATAAGATCTTATTGAGTAAAGAGTCAAACCTACCTTAAATTCTATTATGGAATCAGAGTCCAGGTTCACTTGAGCTAAGCATTTGACCAGCAGGTAAGGAGTTAAAGCCGATAGCTACCTCTAATAATAGGTATGACTCAACATATGGGTTTGACCGTAAGAGAGAGTATTAAAGTCTCACACCGATTAGGCACACTCAAGTCTACTGATTTATAAAATGGGGTAATCCTCCTATTCAACAAAACCTTATTAAGTGCCCTCAAATTGTGTCAGACGTATATAAACATTCGTTTAGTTAAATTATGCTAATAAAGCAGATATTGAGAGAAAGTCCCCCGTGCACCTGTAATTCTAATGTATTATTATACTAATAGATTGTTGTAAATCGTGTATCATGTCATCCATACCTAAACAAATATATATGGGTTACGATTAACATGAACAAGTTACAGCAAGGCACACGTGTGTGCACATGCGGTCAAACTTTGAATCCAGTCAATACTAATAATCCAGGAATCCAATCATTTGCTTTGAAGCTTCATACCCATTTCATTAATCATAAACAAAAACACCTCATCATCGTACGATGCACTCACCACCGTCTGATGAAATATGATATCCACAACCTCGGCCATTGATGAGTTCAGAGAATTTTGCCAACATTCACCTAGGCCGGTGATTGCACGTGCGAGGCACTTTATACGAAAATCTAGATTTGAGCATGATTGCACGTGCACATGGGGTTGTGATTGGTGATAAGCATATTTTAAAGCTTCGTGTGTATTGCCCTTAATGTATGTTTCACATGGTTGGCCCCGTAATCGAAATATTATTATCCAGGAATTTGCGCCTAATATCTTATCAAATCTTCCCTTCCATTTTAACTGTCCGAATCATATCAAATCAAATCCATCAATTTGTAATATTTTTTTATACAATTTTTTTACTAAATTTTTTAATATTTGATTAATATATTTCAACGATTCATATTGCAATTAACATGTTAATTATGTAAGTTTTATTAAATCTCCATTATTTAAAATATCTTACATTTAACACGTTAATAATGTCAATTATTTATAATATCTTGAGAGATTTTATGGTTCAATATCATGTATTCCTACTTTATAAGATCCATATTAAAGTATGATTCATGTATCATGGATTGCAAGACTAAACCCACTTTAAGATGAAAGATGATGTGCTGTAATAGCAATGTGATATTTGACCATATCATATAATATTTCCAACTAAGTGTGAGAAGTAATAATATTTATGAGAAAGTCTATAATATCATCATGGTATTGATGTCACCGTGTTAGTTACCGACCACAATTAATTTAAAGAGAGTGGAGAGAAACAAATTCAAAAGTGACATAAATTTATTGAATGGTGATATGGATGATGTCGTATTCTTGACTTTTTTTGAAGATGTAAATAATACAAGCAATATTTGTACGAAGTATTTTTTTTTTTTTTTAAGAGAAAATCCATAAAAATGAGTTAGCAATTTCAATTTTGAAAGATGTAGAGAGTATACATAAGAATTAAATTATTTTAATCTTAGTGTTCCAATTTTTTCAAATTAAAAATATAAAAATTGATAAATGGGCTTGGACAGGAACGTGGTTATGATATAATGATAAACGAGTTTGGTAAAACTCACTCTCAAAACCTAACTGTGACTCTAATAACATGATAAACGGCATTGCGAGAACTCACCCCAAACCCAGTTGTGACTGTGATAGCATAATAAATGGCGTTGGTAGAACTCACCCAAAAAATTAGCTCATGCACGGAGAGAGCCCAACCGCTTGTATATGTTTATATTATGACAGCCCACAACTTAAGAGTTCTAAAATAAGTTCAAAATTAATAGATCCCGCCAGCTCAGAGGCGGCTAAAATACCGGGCCGAAAGAATAAGTCAGAGATCAAGAAAGCCCAAACGGCGATCAATTAAGCCCACTTGATTTATAGGGTTTATGGTAAGAGAGGATTAGCCAATGTAAAACCCTAACTGAGTAGAAGAGAAGCAAACTCTGGAGTCTGGGCAAGTGAATCAACCGAATCGCAGCTTCCTGAAGTTTACATTACTACGCGAACGATTCTGCTTCTGTAAGCTCTCTAGCTTTATTTTAATTTTTTGTTATCCTTCAAGAAAATTTTGAAGCTATTTTTTAATATCACGATTTATGCAATTCAAATGCTGTTCTTACTGTCGTTGTTTCCGAAACAAAACGCTGAAAAACAAAACAAGGTGAATATTTCAATTTCTTTCGAAATTCGTTTCTTTTTTGTTTTACTATGATTTGCTTTACTACGAGTTTAGGCCTACCTAATGAATTTATTAAAATTATAGGATTGGTGAATTCAATTCAATTTATTTTTTTGTATTTTTCATGAAGATAACAGTGGTGATGAAATTTATATTAATGAATTGTATCCAAATCATTGCTTCTGTTTGGTTCCGGAGTAAAATTTGGGAATGGTAGAGAGCTATTGAAATAAACTCCGTTTAGTGGACTGCCTTTAGCAGTAATATGTCTGAAGATTTATAATCTCTTATTATCGTATTGCTTGTCTATAATCTAATAAACGAAACAGAGGCCAAGGTTTTAGTTAATAAGCGTATCCAAGATGTTTTGATTAATATTTTGTTTCTTTGAATTTTAGAGTTCAATATGGGCCTGTCTTCAAAGAGAGCAAGGAAAACAATGGAGAGTGACAGTGATCTGGAAGACTTCAGTGATCTTGAAAATGAGAAGATGACAGTTAAGAATAAAGTTCTGAATGCTTGTTCTTTTCTCCTTTTTTTTTTTCATTGTTATTGATATTACCATTTGATCTCTTTTTTAATTGATTGACAATTTCTGATTTAGGTGGATGAGGAGGAACAATATGATTATGATTATGATGATGATGATGAGGAAGAAGGAGATGAAGAAGAGGAGGGGTCATATGAGGAAGAAGATAGCAGTGATGAGCAAAATGATAGCCATAAAGATGATGAAATGGAGCAGCTGGAGAAAGAATACACGGAACTTCGGCAACAGGAAATGTAAGACTGCCCTTGAAGCATCTTGTATAGTTGTACTTGATGATTAAGTGAAATCAATCGCTAATTTTAGTACTGGATGATTTTATTTACAGTGTACACAGTATAATGGAATTTCCATAATATTTGTTATAATTCAGGGATGTATTGAAGAATCTCAAGAGTCACAAGGATGAAGATATTCTTAAAGGTCAAGCAGTAAAGAATCAAAAGGTATGATGTTTTTATTTGGTTTCATGAAGTTTAAAGTAGTTCTCATAAGTAATAAATATTTTATTGTGATTTGTTATTAGTAAAGAATTGTCTAACTTGTATCCTTATATGGGCATAGGCTCTCTGGGACAAAACCCTGGAGTTCCGATTCTTACTTCAGAAAGCCTTCTCAAGTTCGAATAGACTACCACAGGTTTACTTTAGTGCCAACTCTATTTTAATTTTATTACGATTTATGGCTCTAAATTGTGTATGTAAGGTTGTTCTTTATGTGAGAGATTTAATGCAGGAGCCAGTTAAGTCGTCATTTTGTGATTCAGACGAAGCAGTCAGTGTGGCATATTCAGACCTAATTACATCATCCAAGAAAACTTTAAATGCTCTATCGGAACTGCAAGAGGTTTGGCTGTTGTAAAGAGACCATCTGCTTGCCTCTCTAAATTTGATGTGTGCTTAGTTTGTTGCATTTGAGAGGCTGTTGGGTACATTTTGTGGTTAAATTAATATGATGCTGTTGCATAGTAGCTTTGTTTACTTTGTTTTGTTATTTTTGTGTCATAGGCTTTGCTCGAGAAGAATCAATCGATTGCTCAATCCTTAGATGGTATGGCTCAGACTTCTCTACATCTCATCTGCTTTCTCTGTCTGGTAGTGTTTAAATAAATAGTGATCCTGGAAACTGATAGAAAACGTGCTGTGAATGATTTCTTCAAATCAACAACTTTTATTAGTTCTATTGTATGCTGATTTTCTTTTCACATTGTTCTTGTTTGTTTATTATTTCCATCATTTAAATAAGTAAATGTTTTCCAGATCAAATTATATTCTAATGGATCTTGATGGCTAATTTGTCCTAACCCATGTTCTATTTTAAAGGTAATTCTGGACAGTCATCTAATATGCGTTCAGAAGATTCTAAGAACTTTAATGCCGAGGACAAAGAATGGTTTCAAGTTTCTCAAGTGCATAGGAGGTATTTCTATTATCTTTTGGATGTTCTTCTGTTTTAGGGACACCAAAGTTATATTTGATACTCGGGTACGAATATCAAGGTTTTGAGTTTTGTCTTTTATCTGTTGTTCTAGCCTCTTTTTCTTCAAGAAAAAAGAATGAAAATGCCACCTTAATGCTCATGTATGTTTGAAAGATGGATATTTCAACCCAACTACTGTACAAGTACCTTAAAGTGCTCTAATTGCTTTTGCGGTTTTACAAGTTTGTGTCATTTAGCTGTGTACACTTTATCCCTACTTACATAATTTCTGAGAAAACAATATGATCTTGATCTGAGGAATTTGAACTAACTTAAACCTTTAATGCTATTGTAGAATAGCTTCTTTCAGAGACAAATCAATAGACAAATGGCAGAGGAAGACACAGGTGACAACTGGTGCTGCTGCTATTAAAGGGAAGTTGCATGCTTTTAACCAGGTTTGCTCACTGACTGAACTGACACTCATCCCATGTAAGAGGAACAATAAGGTTCATTTGTTTCTCCCTTTCAAATGACAGAATATTAGTGAACAAGTTGCTGCTTATATGAGGGATCCAAGTAGAATGATTAAGCAGATGCAACAGAGAAGGTCAACTGTTGGCGTATTTGAGGCTGTAAGTTGATAGACCCCCCTGCTTCAGATACTCACATGTGCATTGTTAAATGAGATATGTTTAATGAGGGAGTTTTAATCCCATTTACTGATAATCTGCTTATCAATAAACAGGTTCCTGAAGGAATGAGCGATAAGGAAGAGGTAATATTACTTGTGTGTTTACTTGGGTTGATCAAACTGAGTTTTATCTCAACTCCAAACCCAGCCTCACTTAATTAGAGATTGTTCTGTGAAACTTCCTATACAGTGTAAGGGGTAATGAAATTCATGTAGGTGTGCTTTCTGTCTGATTAGGAAGCAAATGCTGATGGTGACCCTGAAATTTTGGACGACTCTGAATTCTATCAACAATTATTGAAAGAATTTTTTGAGACAATTGACCCATCATCCTCAGGTAATCTTTCATATTTAGTTTTAGTTACGGTTGATCTTTCCCTGATAATAACTTTGCACTTGTTTCCCAAGTATCCACTTATTTTAAATCTTCCCACTTTTGATTGTCCGCAGAGACGGCATTCTATGCTATTAAAAAACTGCAAACTAAGAAGAGAAAAATTGTTGATCGGCGGGCCTCAAAGAGCCGTAAAATTAGGTAAGTTCTGTAACTAGATGTTGGAGGAATTCCTCAAGTTAAATGACTTTTAACGTATTTGTTCATTAGATTTGCCAACTGTGGTTTTGTAGATATAATGTCCATGAAAAGATTGTCAATTTCATGGCGCCTCAGCCCAGGGACCTCCCCCCAATGGCTCCTAAATTATTTGAAAATTTGTTTGGGTTGAAAACCCAGAAACCCGCTGCTGCATAAAATTCCGGTGCTCAAGTAATGTGCCTCGAAATATCGTACCTTAGTCTCTTTGTAATTCAATTTTTCTTTTGATTTTACCTGTAATTTTGAAAGAAAAATTCAAGATATAGCAGGAATGTTACGAATTTCTCATATTTGTAAGTGTAAACTTAGCAATTATCACATGGCAGAATGAAACATAAAACATCTTTGCCTATCATTTAACACAAATCGATACAACAGACTGCCTCTACAATGAAAGAGAAAAGTGTCGAGTGTCCCGAAATTTAGTACTATCAATTGCCATAACATGGGGCATACACCACCTATCTATATGGCACATCTTCTTGGTATCATAAATCCTTAAAAATACATGGGACAAAAAGAACAGTTGAGAGCAAGAAGCTTCATCATCCCTGCAAACTGGTAAGATTATCCTCATTAACTTTGGAAGCACAGCCTTGATTAAGAAAATTCACAAAGATTTAAAGGCAGGGCATGAAAATTTACACCGACTGTTGAGCACCAGCTTCTTGTATCAACTGGGAATATATGTATTCATCAACTCTCTGCTTTGCCAATGCTACCTATTACGCATGGTAAATATTAAACCCCAAAAAAATAAAAATAAAGGGAGCAGCAAATAACCATTGGTAACACTGGTTTCTTGGTTAATCAGTATGAAAAAACAAAAGAGCAACCTCAAACTGTTAATTATGAAGACACTAATACATTTGATTTGATATGCAGAAATTTGGCAGAAGACATGACTCAAGGAAACAAAAATGCTTTCCATCAATTAACCAAGATGCAAAGGATAAACTCTAATACTAGCTACCGAAATATAATAATAACAACCACTATTTTAAAACCTAACCCGGCCCGGCCAGTTTAACTGGTTTAACCAGGACTCGGAAGCTTCACCGGACCGAGTTAACATTTTTCCTATTCACCAAAAACCTTAAAATTTAGGATGATGATCGACGAACAATTGAAGGCTAAGATGTTGAGACTTTTGAAGAGAAAGTGCCAATGAGTGCAATGGTGGCAATGAAGTTGATTTCCAGTGAGTGAATCAATCGGAAATCGAAAAAAACTGGCGATGGAAACAATCGACTTTTGCCAACGATTGGCGAGGCTAATGAGGGTGGGGTGGGGTGAGGTGGATTTTGGTTGGGAGGAAGAGGGGAGTATTTTTGGGGTGATGGGGAGGGTTGTCGACGCCGAAGTCGGTGACATTTGGCCTGGAATGCCGACGTCAACGTCGGTCAGACGAAATCGAATCGATTTCAACCAGAAATTGGGTATATTTTCTGAGGAATGGGCTCAAGGGACGATTGGGATTGCATTTGAGGTGTCGCCGTCGCCAACCAATTTGTATTTGGGGTTTGTTTGCTAAATTTCAAACCTATAGGGGCTTAACATAATTTCCAGGGTGTATTTGCCAAATTTTAAAGTTTTGTCATTTGATTTGACTAGCTGGTCAAACAAGGACCCGGTAACTTTGCCGAGTTGGTTATTAAAACATTGATAACAACTGCTAAAGCAGAAATAAAGAACACCAAGAATTAACGAGATTCGGTATTGTAACTTATGTCCTCGGGCGTTGCAAAAGAAAACTCTACTATCTACAAAGAATATTATAAACTTTTGGATAATATTACAAATACCCAAATTATATAGGCATAAAAACAATTACCCAAAACCAAGGGGAATAACAACAAAACTTTTCAATGAAAAGGTCCTTAATGAAAAAACCCTATAGAAGAGGAATCTAACAAAACACTGTTTGGGATGTATAAAACCATGACTTGGATTCTTATATATAGGCCTTAAAAGTTTCTCAATTTTCATTCATACTCGATGTAGAATTTTGCTAATGAGTCATTCTTTCAACAAATCTCCACCTTGGTGAATCAGCAAACCTTCAAAGTCTTGTATTTTCCTAACAAATTTGGCAATACCTTCAAATTTTCATATGTTTATGATGGATCGGAAGTACACAAGAAGCAATTTTGACTACTATGTGTATTTTCAAAGGCTACAAGGTGATATTCTCATTTATCTACTCTTATATGTTGATGATAAGTTGATAGCTTCAAAGAACGTAGAAGAAATTGAGAAGTTAAAAGCTTAACTAAATCAAGAATTTCAGATGAATGATTTTGGAAAAGCCAAGAAGATTCTCGATATGGAGATAATTAGAGGCAAAGGAAATGGCAAGGCTTGATTGATACAAAAGCAGTATCTAAAGAAGGTCTTACAACGTATTGGCATAACTGAAAAGACAAATCCTATAAATACTCCACTTGCTTCTCATATAAAGTTTAGAGCATCATTATCTCAATCCATATTGAAATGCAGTAGGTAGCTAGATGTATGCAATGGTGTGTACTAGACTCGACATTTCACATACAGTTGGAATTGTGAACAAATATATGCATAATCTTAGTAAAGGACATTGGCAAGCTGTGAAATGGATTTAACGGTACATTTTAGGTACTGTAAACATTGGTTTGGTTTTTGAGCAAGATGATAATCTTAGTCAATTTGCTGTTGGCTATGTTGAATCTGATTATGCTAGTGATCTGGATACGCGTCGGTCAATTACTGGATATGTATTTACACCTGCTAGAACTCCAGTAAGTTGGAAATCTTCTTTACAGTTTACAGTTGCTTTGTCTACCATAGAGGCAGAATATATGGCAATCACAGAGGCTGTAAAGGAAGCTATTTGGGTTACAAGGACTATTAGAAGAATTAAAGATTAGTCAGAAGATCACTATCTATTCTGATAGTCAGAGTGCTATTCATTTAGCAAAGAATCTAGTATTCCATGTTTGCACCAAGCATATCGATGTCTGTTACCACTTTGTGTGGGAAATCATTAGTGAAGGAAGAATTGCCTACGGAAGATTGAGAGTATTGAGAATCCCGCAGATATGTTAATGAAAGTAGTGACAATGATCAAGTTCAACCACTGTTTGAACTTGATCAACATCATGCAAGCTTGACTTCGCCATTTGACGCATTTGATGGTGTTGCAAAATTTGTCAGAAGAGTACAAAACTTTGAAGAGTTGCTAATTCGCCAAGGTGTAGATTTATTGGAAAAATGACTCATTAGCAAAATCTCACATCGGGTAGGAATGAACATGGAGAAAGATTTAGGGACCTATATAAAATTAGCCAAGGTTAGTAAGTCTCACATTGGTTAAGAATGAAAATGGAGCAACTTTTGAGGCCTATATATAAGGACCCAAGCCATAATTTTATGCATCCCAAACAGTGTTTCTTTTACACCCTCTTATATAGGATTCTTTTATCAAGGACCCTTTAGTTAAAAAGTTTTGTTGTATTTCCCCTTTGTTTTAGGTAATTTTTTTTATACCCATATAGTTTGAGTTTTTGTAGTATTGCCCAAAAGTTTACAATATTCTTTGGAGATACAGTGCCCGAGGACGTAGGTTACAATACCGAACCTTGTTAATTCCTGATATTCTTTATTTTTGTATTTATTTCTGCTTTAGTAGTTGTCATTATTATATTTCAATAGCTAGCATTAGAGTTTATGTTTCCGTTGCATAACAAGTGGTACATGAAGATCATATTTTCTTCTATATAAAAGAAAATAATGGATTTACCTGTTGAGCACTACCACCAAATTGAATATGCCTGTGTTTCTGTTCACCTTTTCCACCATATACCTGTAAAGAAAGAAGATCAAAGAAGCATATAAGAAATGCAAGGAAAATAAATGAATTAAGAGCAATATTAACAAAAGTCAAATGTAATAGTGCTTGATAATCAAAGATTTGCCTACCTTAATCATTGCTCCAGATTCATTTCTGATCCTCGATATGTTGGTGCCACACCTTCCAATCAACCCACCGACCAATGTTTCCGAAATCATCATCTCGAATGTTACATAATCAGCTGCAAGATTGGTTGTCCTAAAGATGATGTGGTTATAAGAAAAATATTAAAACTTGATAAAGCTGCAAAATGTAGCAGTTCAAAATTACAAGTATTCGATTTGAGAAGCATGGAATAACCTGAAGTAGGATCCACAAATGGTTGTGCTGGTCTTACTGCACCATAATTGTATGTTGGGCTGATGGATATCACTTGTCGGGGTGGGTTTTCCCTAAAAATAATGAAAATGAAGAATAATTATACGTATTTATCCTTTCCTAGAGCATTAAAAAATACCAGGTTGGGAAAACCAAGTAATGTCAAAGTTCAACGGAAGACCTGAGCTGATAACCAATCTCTACCAATGCCTTTAACACTGCAGGAATATCACCTGATATCTGAGTTTAACAAATATGTTACCATTATTCAGCAACACAAGAAAGAAAAGAAAAAGCAATACAGAAGGGATTTTATGAATTGATTGTATATGATTCTTGCATGTGAGCGGAAAATAATGTAGTATAAAGTGACAGCAAGTGAATAAAATTGAACACAAGAAATCTCACCTGTACAACTCGATCAGATTCATGAGCAGATGCACATAAAGGTAATTGATTTGGTGCAAGAATCACAATTGTGGCACCTGAAGAATTCCTCAATTTCTCAATGTTTTGACCAGACATCCCAATTAGACAACCCGCTTGTGACCCAGCAATCAAAAGTCTTATAGTGTTAGCAGCCACATGCCCTGCAGTTACTTTTGAAGCCTCTGCATTGCTATCATCTTCCTGTTATTTACAATATGAAACAAATATCCCATTAATCTGCTCACAATATTTTCAGGCCCATAGAAATTATGCCTGGACGAATAAAGACACTTCACAGCAGTAGTTTCTTTAGCCTATGGCAACTTGTAAATCGCATTTCCAATTTAAGTAAATACAGATTTCTAAAACGAATTCTTGAAATGTAGAGCATAAAATTACCTTTAGAATCAAAGTGGCTATTTGTTGGAGCGCATTTTCAGCATCAGAAACCACGTTATCACTATCTTTAGAACTTATAATAATCACTCGCTCTTCATGTCGCTGTTCAACAAATTATTATAAAACACGTTATTCACTTATTAAATTTCAAGTTAACACAGTCGGTCTCTTATTACGTTATTGGAGTTTCGGTTCAGGATTTTCTGAAAATGCTGCGAATTTTCGCAGATAAGCAAACCCTAAATTAAACACAATAAAAAAAAAAATTAAATTAAATAAAAAGAACTTACTGCAATAGCATCAGCGATTTTTATAGTGGCCTTGGTTTCTTCTCGAATCTTCTGGATTCTATGTCCTTCTTTGCCAATGACCTTTCCGATCTGCCTTGAAGGCACCACTATTCGAAACAACACATCCTGTGCTTTAGCTCTCCGTTTCGAACCTGGCTCTTCGCACTCCCCATCTTCACGGCGGCGCTTTCCGGAGACATCAAGCTGTGTTACGGATTCGGTGCCGGAGACGGCGACGATTGCGGTGGGTTCTGTGGGGTTTACTGGAATTTCGCCTTGATCGGCCATAGGTTGAGAGGTAAAAGACCTTGGCAGTAACACGCAACTAATCAACTTATCAGCTAATTCAAAATCTACAGCCTATCACAACTCATGAAATTACTTTATTGACCTTTCAAATTTAATTTTTATGAAACGTTCAATTATTAAACCCAATTACCGGTTAGGACGCACCTCATCTACTACATAAGCTAGGGTTGGGCGGGATCTAGGTACCTGCCCAAATCCCATGGAATTAGAATCGGTCGGTTCCTAGGGTTTAGAATCGGTCAGTTCCTAGGGTTTGGAATCGGAATCGATTAATTTCGGTTCCTAAAAGCCTTCAAGGTCTGGTATCGGTTTCGGTTATGGGTGTCTGAGAAAATTACATTACCCCTATTATTCACAAAAATAACAAATACACCTTAAAAAATTACAAATACACCCCAAAACTTTATAAAAATTATAATTCAAGCCCGATTCCTACCCATGTCTCGATTCTGATTTCGATTCTTGGTTCCGATTTCAATTTATTCAGTGGTGGAACTGGAACCGCACAATATCAATTCCCATTTTTTAGAACCAGAACCTTGAATATTCGCCGGTTTCGGTTGTACCCTATTTTTCTGCCACCCCTATATATAACTGATAAATAATGAAATATCATAATACAAAGATAATAAATATAGAGTAAACGACTTTTTTCCATCCAAATAATGGCGTAATGACACTTTCTCACTTAAAATGTTTCAAAATACAACTTTACTATCCACATTATACATTTATTAGTAAATTTTATTGTGAACAAGGGCAAGATGATTAAAAGTTCGTTATAAGTAAAGGTGAATATGGTCAACTAGCATTATGCATCAAAAATCAAAATTTAGGATTTAGGGTTATAACTTGTAGAATACTATTACGCCCACAACCCATTCTCATAAACATTTCTTACAACCCCGACATAGCAACTGAATTGATACTATCATATCAGCTGCACCACACCAAAGGCATAAAATGATTTTGACTAGACCTATGAAATAGTCGTTTCTTCATAGGGAACAACCATTCCTTATTGAAGGAATGGTCGTTCCTCACGGAAGGAATGGTTGTTCCTCTCTCAAGGAATGACCATTCCTTCCCTACGGAACGGTTGTTCCTTGTGATTTGTGAAGGTATGGTCATTCCAAGGAATAGTCATTCCTTATGAAGGTATGACCATACCTTATGAAGGAACGTTAGTTCAAAGTCCTTTTAGTGTTTTAGGTGTGGTGGGAGCTGACGTGATAGCGCAAACTTTGTTGTCATATTAAAATTGTAAGAGAAAGTTGAGAGATTGGGTTGTAAATGTAGTATTTTCTAACTTATAACAAACCTAAAAAAATAATGAAGAAAACCCACCCCCATCTCATCCACTTTGCCACCGTCACTCCACCCCCTAACCTAGTTTGCCACTGTCACTCCACACCTCACCCACTTCACTTCTCACTATTAGGCCACACCCTTCACACCACTGCTACAATCCGAAATCAACACAAATCACTGCCACACCAATACAAATCAACATTGTTTCCTCCTCTTAACCCCTTTATTCTATCCTCTTTCTATATTACCCCCAAATCATTTCTCAAAACTTCAATTTCATAATCGAAAGACATTACCTATGATTTACAAATTTATGTTTGTATTTAGAATAATGCTATAGACATCGAATTTTTATACTGAAGGACATGACCTCCAGTCAAACGCGATCACGTTGGAGTCTTCCGTGAATAAATAGTCATCTAACAATTATGGACGTCCGTCCATATTATATGAATGGGTGTCCATTTATTATGGATGAGAGTTCATATAAGATGAACGTCTATCCAAAAAATTTTAAAAACAAAATAATGGATGTCCGTCTATCTTTTATAGATGCTCGTCCATATACATTGGCTGCTTTATTTTTATTTGTCTTCTTGCTCAATTCAATATTCAATTTTTATTTGTCCACTTGCCCAATTCAATGCAATTTCTATTTTTATATTACACTATTACCACAACATTAAGCTCCAGTCCTATTTGTGCCTGCTCTTATTCAATACTAACTTAATTTGCAATTAATGTTTGTTGGTTAGTGTCAAACTTTATTACCGTTTCAATGAATAGTGATATCTAATTAATAGGATTCGCAATCATACTGGTATATTATTTATTTCTCTGATTATTTGAGCATTAAATAAATTTAAAATTGTTAATATTCTATCTTATGAGGGCGATGACCATTCTTATAAGATGGACGGCGTCCATAAACAATTTAGGCCAATTTTTTTTAGTTTAAACTATGAACGGACATCCATTTTAGTTGATGACCATCTATAATAAATGGACTCCCGTCCATATTAGAGTCGATTGTTATTTTCGCATCGAACGATCGTCCAATAATAATGGATGGCCATCTATATTTGATGGATGACTGTTCATTCGTGAAATATTTGTTAACGTGATACGTGGCTCCTCTGATTCAACTGACACATCGTTCGATGTAAAAATTTGGTGCAAAGCGTCGGTGTCCGTAGCATATTCTTGTATTTATTTCCTATTGTTACTTCTATTAAGATGATTGTGGAGTTAGGGATAGAGGATGAAGTTGTATAGAATAATTGCGGAGATGATAATTTTGTTGGCTTCTAGTGGAGAAACCAAACCAATCCTGAACTTGAGTGGTGAAAGTGGGAGGTAGGAAAGGGTTTGATTGAGGTGGGAGTGAGTTTTGATTGTGGTTGTGACATAAATGGAGTTTGAGGGGTGGTTATAAAGGATGGAGAGAGAGGTGGATATGGTTGTAAAGGTGGAGATGGTTTGTTGTGGTGCTAGATCGCAGACAGCCGGTTAGGCGAAACGCCGCCGGCATAGGCTGCGATATGGACTAGTCAAACAAAAGTAGGCTGCGATGCAATGCAGGTGGCGTTCAACTGCGGCGATGAGACTTTTCCTTTTTTTAAACAATTGTCTTTTTTTTTCTTTTCTTTTTTCGAGAGAAACATACTGTAGGTTAAACTTATATATAATAAAAAACAAGAGTCACCACCATAAAGGTCTTTTTATCTTTACAATAAATATACATGATGTTTAACAAAAATTACTAGTAAAAAGCACTGTTAGATAGTAAAGTTATATTTTGAAATTTTGGGTGAACAAATCGTTTACTCATGAATAAAATATAAAAAGATTTTAAAAAATAAAGAAAACGATTATTTCCTACCCAAGGTTTGGCCTAAGTCAGTTTTCCTACCCAAAAAATTTCAAAAAGATACTTTTTAGTTAGTAAAATATGTAATTGACATGGTCTATTTAATGAAATAATAAAAATACCCTTTACTATTTGAATCTAAATTCAAATCTTTACCTAAACTGAAAAAAATTATAAAAATTTGAAAAAATGACTTGGGTCAAACATTGGGTGGGAAATTGTCATCTGTCGAAAATAAAATTTTAATTTAATTTAAATAGCATGACAATGTAAATGTCTCACCAGGACTATAATTTTACCTTTGGCTCCGTTTGGTTCACAATTTTGTGTTTTTAGGAAATCTTTTTTGAAAAAAGTTGAATTGGGCGGGTATTACGATGTAGGATTTATAAATTAATAAAATACCCTCTATATTTTTTTTACAAAATACCCCTTATAATAAAACATTAAAAGTTAACAAAAACACCCCCAACCCACCCTCAAATACGGACAGTTGGCCACCACCGCCGGAGGGTGGCCGGGGTCGCCGTATCGGCGCATGACTGGCTGGATCTTGCCGGTCGTACACCGATATGGCCTTTTCTGTCCAGATCCACCGGCAAAGGCTAGATCTACGGCTAGATCTGGCCATTGACGGTCAGATCTGGCCGTATTTGCTATTCAATGACGACCAACAAACGGTCGTCGTTGATGGTCAACGACGATCGTTTGTTGGCCGTCGTTACCGACTGGTTACGGCCAAAGATCTAGTTGTCAACGACTAGATCTTTGGCCTTAGATCTGGCCTTTTTCGGCCAGATCCACTGTGGATCTGGTCGAAAAAGGCTAGATCGATGCACTACCGGTCAGATTCAGCCGGTAGTGCGCCATCTTACCAGATTCTGGCCATTTATCGGTAGTGATGATCGGAATCAGGTAAATGTGGATTGTTGGGGTTTTTTTATAATTTTTAAAAAAATATTTAGGGGTATTTAATTAAATTAACAAATTTATGAGGATTTAAAAAAAATTAAAAAATATTGTGAGTTTTTAGGTATTACTGTTTAACTTTTTTGAGAATACTAAACGTAATATTCCCAAAATGCAACCAAACGAAGCCCTTAACTCTTGAATTACCGGTTGATAATTATATTTATATGCACTTATTGATAATTGTTTATTTCCGAAAATTGAAAAAGAAACGGCTCTTGTCTGAAACACCCTCCGTGTGAAAAGCCCAAAAATCTAATGAAAGCCAAAACCGTAAACCTCGTTACATCGATGGGCATCTCTAAACCTGTATACACAATCTTTTCCCGCCATTTGAGTTCACAACCAAAGCTTCCAAGAATCCAATTTAAATACAAACAACGAGCCATCAAAGAAGCCCAACAAGCGGTTACCGACTATCTCCACTTCACAAAGTCCATACCTTTCACTTACGCAGATAATATTAGCCGAAATTCTTTATACAGTCTATTCAATCTCATTAAAAATCTCGGCATTCCTTATAAACCTTCTAATTTCTCTAATTCCATCGTTAGATTCCTCAGGTACCACCCTATTAACGAATTTGAGTTTTTCTTTGAAAGTATTGGGATACATTACAGTGAAGTAAGTGAAATTTTGCCTGCTAATAAGTTTTTCTTTTTCGAGGATGAGAATGTATTGAATGCTGCTTGTGCGCTTTCGGATTTTGGGTTTCCTTGGAATATGTTGGGGAGGTTGTATAAAGAAGAAGTTTTGATTTTTAGTAAGAGTTGCGAAGAAATAACGTCAAAGCTTTGTGGGTTTAAAAATGATTATGGGTTCAGTAACGATACTGTGATTGGTGTGTGTTTGGTTTTTCCTCATGTGTTGTTGGTTGAGGATGATGAATTGTTTGATGATTTGAAAAGGGTTTTTGTGGATTTTGATTTAGTGAGCTGCGTAGAGGGATATGTGGATTTTTGGTACGAAATTTGTAGGAAGATTCGCTTGTTTAATGATTTGGGTTGTGAGAAGGGGACGTTAGGTGAATTGGTGGGTGAGAATAAAAGAATATTTGTTGATTATTCAGAAGAGGTTTTGGCTCAAAAGGTGGAGTTCTTTTGTAGATTTGGAGTTAGGAACGTGGATGTAGCTTTGTTGCTTCTTAAGTGCCCAGAGATCCTGAGTTTTGATTTGGAGACACGAGTGATTTCTGTGGAGGGATTATTCAGACATTTTGGATTGAGTGCCAAGGAAACGAAATCTATATCTGAAAAGTACCCGTATATATTGGGAAGAAATAAAATGGCTAATTTGCCTCATGTGATGAAGGCAGCAAATCTGCAAAATTGGTTCTTTGACAAGATCAGGAATGGAAATCATCAACTGTTAGGGAATTATGCCTTAAGCAATCCTGACGAAGATTTCAATCAAGAATTTAGGGATTTCTTGGAGAGGATCCGATCTTCAAAATATTGTTTTCACACAATGAAGAAGTTAACATTCTTGCATGGAATCGGTTATGGAGAAAATGCTTTGACTATGAAGGTATTAGCTACCTTGCATGGCACCAGTAGTGAGTTGCAAGAGCGATTTGATTGCTTTCTCCATTGTGGAATCGAATTCTCGAAGATCTGTAGGATGATAAGATTGGATCCAAAGTTTATGAGCATGAGTCCAGAATCTATGGAGCAGAAGGTGAACTTCCTCTGCCAGGACATGGGTGCTTCTTTGGATTACCTTGATAGGTACCCAAGATACTTGTGTTTTGACTTAGAGTACAGGATTAAGCCCAGGTACAGATTCCACATGTGGCTTACAGAGAAAGGTTTGTGTACCAAAAATTACTCCATTGCGACCATCCTTTCTACTACTGAAAAGAGTTTCATGACTCGCATTCATGGAATTCACCCAGCTGCTCCAAAACAGTGGTTGGAGTCTTTCTTGTGCAAAAGACCCAGTGATAAATGCTAGAAGTAGAAAGCATTTTCGTCAATGATGACAGTAAATGTGACTGAGTTACTCTACAGTTCTGCAAATTGGTATCTGACAGTAGCATTACCCATTTTTCGCAGATCGTTGTTTTAAACCACTAAGATGATATTGAAGCTGGAGACTACGTAGATCGCTTGGCCTTGATATGTTTTCCAGTGCTGGCTTATAAGTCATAGCGCAATTTGATGAGCATCCATTTTTTTCTTGTAATGAACTACTGCTAGAGTGCTGGTGCATATCCCGGTATCCATTTTCTGGCAACCGGAATATTCTAAGGCTATAACAACTCATGAAATTACTTTATTGACCTTTCAATTTTAATTTTTATGAAATGTTTAATTATAAAACCCAATTACAGGCTATGAGTCTAGGGGTGCAGTCGAACCGAGTAGCTTGTGAGCTACTCGGATTCGACTCGTGATGAGCTCGGACTCGACTCGTCAGGGAACGAGTAGTTCACGAGTTCGAGCTCAACTTCAAGCTCGTGAAAACTATCGAGCTTTTCGGGCTCGATTCGAACTGTTCGCGAGCTGTTCGAAGAACTCGTTTCGTCATTCGAGCAGGAGAGCCCGTGAGATCGAGCTGTATTAATATTTGCCCTAAAGTCTGATCAAGTCATTCATTCGGCCAAAAACAGAGACATTCAGCTATTCACCTCCGCAAAAGCACAGCGCAAGATCTGAGACCACCATTGTCTAACCTTCATCCAGCCTTCATTCAGTTACTACCGACCAGCGATCAGCTTCAGCTACTACTGTCCACCATCGTCTTCCCTTCTTCACTTTCCTGCTGCCACAAGGTTCATTTTCCTGCTTCTTGACACCCAAAGTTGTCTCTTGCCGTGAGTCTCATTCTTTAAACTTGTTTAAGTTGATTACAAATTTCTTTGTTTTCCTCTCATCGTGGGTTTATGTTGACTTTGCTGCGTATTTAGAAATTGGAAGCTGGGTGATATGAGTTGCGTTAATTTTTGGAAGTTTGCAGAGAACCTGTTATATGTTTGATGAAATGCCTCTGAGAGAAGAGTTTGATGGGATTTTGATAACTTTTAACAAGTCTGTGAATTGCTTCTAGTTTAGTTTATGGCTATATGACTTTTCTTTAAAAAAAGTGTTCTGTGATGACTGCAATTCTATCACACCATGACCAGTTCAAATGGGATAATATTCTGACTTCAACACTAGTTTTAAATTGCTTCTAGTTTAGTTTGCGGCTATATGGCTTTTCTTGTCTTTTTTGTACATAATACACAAACTTTCTATTTGCAGGTTCTACTGGCGTGGGAAAAACTTAGCTTGTGCATGCTTTAGCAGCTGAATATTTTGGGTCAGAAAAATCCCTAATCAGTATAGACATGAGTAAATATATGGAGAAACATACTGTTTCAAAGTTTCTTGGGTCGCCAACGGGTTACTATGGCTGTGGAGACGGTGGTCAACTGACTGAAGCTGTACGGAAGCAACCTCACAGTGTGGTTCTCTTTGATGAGGCGGAGAAGGCTCATTTTGATGTGTTGAATATTATGCTTCAGGTTTTGGACGCTGGTCGTTTAACGGATAGCAAAGGGAAGACTGTGAACTTCAACAGAACTTTCATAATAATGACTTCAAATGTTGATTCTGATAAAATTGCTAAGAAAAGCCATTTGGGGTATGATGAAGTGAAGATGAAAGTTGAAAAAGAATTTCAAGCCTTAGTTCTTGAATAGATTTGATGAACTGATTGTTTTTATGAAATTGACTTGCTGTCAGCTAAAACCAATTGTTGAGATAATGCTGAATGGAGTTTATCAAAGGGCAAAAGCAATAAAAATAAATCTTGAAGTGACAGAAAAAAATCACGGAAGAATTGGTGAGACAGGGGAATGATTCTGCCTATGGAGCAAGGCCATTGAGAGGGCAATTAGAGGCTGGTGGAAGACTCATTGGCGGAAAAGATATAAGTGGAGCGTTTAAGGAGGAGGATTACGTCAAAATGGATTTTGATCTACTGGCAACATAGTAACAATATATGATTAATATTTATTATGAAAAAAAATATATTAAATATTTTGATTTATAGAAAAGCTTCTTTGGACTCTTTGAACAATATCACATGTTTTTCAGCTACTGCCTAAAATAAAATGTTTTTGTGTCAAGGCAGGTCTAGATGTCTAAAACACTATATGGAATATTTTCCTCGTTAACTTTGCTGTTTTCTTATTAAATTGTTGAAATTTAGTCTGTGTGATTTGTATTTGAAGGATATATTGATTTTTAGAACATCTATACAGAACCTTGTACGATTTAATGTTGTGTTTTGCAATTTATCTGAGATGAATGAATTGATGCAATCACTTGTTATATATTTCACCTGTTTCTTCTATTATATATGAGAAGCGATTGATTAATCTTATAGTAATTAAAATTAGTAAAACCTGCGAGACACATTTACAATCATTAGTCATTTTTTAATTGGTTTCCACGATATTCCTTTAAATTCGAGCTTTTATATATTTTCAAACATATAATATAATAATTCGGTTATGTCAAATAAATAAATACACATCAAAACAATTTTTTTTCCTCTTTTTAACAAACAATTGTAGCAACCATTTGCGAAACATACCATATCCGATAAAATAGATATTCAATAAATTACGCTTCAAAACTGAAACAAAAAAGTGAAACGAACCCGTGGGAGAGAGAAGCTCAAGAAGTAAACAAGGCAGTAACTGCAGCGACATGGAGCACTCCACCAATCTCAGTGTACTTGTTTTTCTCATTATTAAGAAACGAAGTTTTGGCCTGCAAATGCAAGAGAGTTGAAGCTGGGTTTGAAGAGAGAAGAGAATGAAAAGAGTTGTGGAAGAAGAAGGTGTAAATTGGGGTAATACGTTGATAGAAGAGGTAGTTTTGGGCAAATGAAAGAAGAAGAATAAGAAGCTGTGCATTGTTTTGTTGGGAAAAGCTGCAAACAAGACTCGGAACTTGACGAATTGATCCGAGTCGAGCTCGAGCTCCCACTTGTCTCACGACGAGCTTGAGCCAGCCACTACTCGGTAGCACACCTAACTACGACGCACTCATCTATTATAAAACCAAAAATAATGAAATATCATAATACAAAATAATAAATATAATATAAAAAGATTTAAAATATAATTTTATTAATTTAAATGCCCGACATGTAAATGTCTCACCAAGAGTCATAATTTTACACTTCAAAGTTCTAACTCTTGAATTACGGTTGGAATTTTACTTATATGCCCTTATTGATAATTGCTTATTTCTGAAATAAAAAAAGAAAGAAGAAGTTTTGTCTGAAACGGTTGTTAACCTCCGTGTAAAAGCCCCAAATCTAAGAAAGCCGAAACCCTAAACTCCTTACAACAATGCCCATCTCTAAATCTGTGTACACAATCTTTTCCCGCCATTTGAGTTCACTGCCAAAGCTTCCAAGAATCCCATTTAAGTACAAGCAACGAGCCATCGAAGAAGCGCAACAAGCAGTTACCGACATCTCCACACACAAAGTCCATACCTTTCGCTTACGCAGATCACATTAGCGAAATTCTTTATACAATCTATTCAATTCATTTCAAATGTCGGCGTTCCTTATAAAACTCTTAATTTTCTAAGTCCATCGTTAGATTCCTCAGGTACACCTATTAACGAATTTGAGTTTTTCTTTGAAAGTATTGGGATACATTACAGTGGAAGTAAGTAAATTTTGCCTGCTAATAAGTTTTTCTTTTCGGAGGATGGGAGTGTATCAGTGCTGTTGTGCACTTTCGGGTTTTGGGTTTCCTTGGAATATGTTGGGAAGGTTGTATAAAGAGAAGTTTTAATTTTTAGTAAGGTTACGAAGAATAACGTCTAGGCTTTGTGGGTTTAAAAATGATTATGGGTTCAGTAATGTTCTGTGATTGGTGTGTGTTTCGCTTTTCCTCATGTGTGTTGGTTGAGGATGATGAATTGTTGATGTTTGAAAAGGGTTTTTGTGGTTTGATTTAGTGAGCTGCGCAGAGGGATATGTGGATTCTTGGTACGAAATTGTAGGAAGATTCGCTTGTTTTATGATTGGGTGTGAGAAGGGGACGTTAGGTGAATGGTGGGTGAGAATAAAGAATATTTGTTGTTATTCGAAGAGGTCTTGGTCTCAAAGGTGGAGTTCTTTGTAGATTTGGGGTAAGGAACGTGGATGTAGCTTTGTTGCTTCTAAGTGCCCAGAGATCCTGAGTTTTGATTGGAGACAGAAGGTGATTTCTGTGGAGGGATTATTCAGACTTTTGGATTGAGTGCCAAGGAAACGAAATCTATATCTGAAAAGTACCCATATATATTGGGAAGAAATAAATTGGCTAATTTGCTCATGTGATGAGGGCGGCAAATCTTCAAGATTGGTTCATTGACAAGATCAGGAATGGAAATCATCAACTGTTAGGGAATTATGCCTTAAGCAACTCTACGAAGATTCGATCAAGAATTTAGGGATGGCTTGGAGAGGATCCAATCTTCAAAACTTCGTCTTCATACAATGAAGAAGTTAACATTCTTGCATGGAATTGGTTATGGAGAAAATGCTTTCACTATGAAGACATTAGCTCACTTGCATGGCCCAGTGGGTTGCAAGAGCGATTTGATTGCCTTCTCCATTGTGGGATTGAATTCTCGAAGGTCTGTAGGATGATAAGATTGACCCAAAGGTTATGAACCAGAGTCCAGAAACTATGAGAGCAGAGGTGAACTTCCTGTGCCAGGACATGGTGCTTCTTTGGATTACTGATATGTTCCAACATTTTGTGTTTTGACTTGAGTAGGATTAAGCCAGGTACAGATTCCACATGTGGCTTACAGATAAGGTTTGTCTACCATAAATTACTCCATGCGAGCAGGTTGCTACTAGTGAAAAGAGTTTCATAACTCGCATTATGGAATTCACCCAGCTGTCCAAAACTGTGGTGGAGTCTTCTTGTGCAAAAGAACTAGTAATAATTGCTAGAAGGCTTTTTTTCATGATGAAGTACAGTAAATATGACTGAGTTACTCTACAGTTTCCTGGAGATTTTACTTATCATCCAGAAATATTTTTCAATTTTCTTGGAAAGTTCTGTAAATTGGTATCTGACATGCGACAATAGCATACCCATTTTTCGCAGATTGTTTTAAACCACTAAGATGATATTGAAGCTGCAGACTATGTTGTTCGCATCGCCTTAATATAGCTTCCAAAGCGGCTTAAAAGTCATATCGCAATTTGATGAGCGTCCATTGTATGTATTGAGCAACTTCTAATTACCGCATTTTATACTGGTATTTGATTCTATTTGTTTACGATGAATTCTTTTTATGGAGAAAAGAAAAGAAAAAAAAGCCAAATAGATTGGCGCTTCATGAAGAAATGCAATTTTTTTTTTTTTTCCTTTTGCCTTTTGGTTTCCTGTTCTAATTACGTGTGTCTTGATTGTTAGGTACTTCTCTAATTAGACCCTATCAACAATCCCATAATTTTCTACAGCCAAACTGATGGAGAATTACCATACAAGTTGTAGTGGCTCATTTTCAGGGGAGAACAGAACCTTATCCAAAGTTTTTCTTAAATGAAAAATACAAACGAAACCAGGCTAGTGCATATCTGAGAAATTATTACCCCCTATTATTCACAAAAATGAAAAATGCATCCCAAAAATAACATACACCCTAGAAGTTTAAAAAATTACAGTTCAGTCCTGATTTACCTAGGTTTGGTTCTGATTCGGTTCTAGGTTTGATTTCAGTTTCTACAGTGGTGGAACGGAATAGCACATACCAGTTTCGTTTTGTGAACCGAAACCTCGAATTTTGTTGGTTTCGGTTCTACCCTATTTTTTCACCACCCTTTATATATCGATAAATAATGAAAACCATAATACAAAGATAATAATATAGAGTAAACAAATTTTTTCACCAAAATAAGCTAATGAACTTTCTCACCAAAACTTTCAAAATAAAAAATTATATCCCCAGTAGATTATTAGTAATTCATTGTGTAGGAGGGCAAATGGAAAGTCCTTTATGTAGGTCAAGATGTCAATTAGTATTGTGCATCAAAATCAAAATTAGGTTTAGGGTTGAACTATAGAGTAATACTACGCCCACAACTATTCTTACAACATCTTTACAACCTGACATGGCAACTAAGTTGGAATTATCACATCAGTTGCATCACACCCAATGCACAAAATGATTTTGACTAAATCTATAAACGGTCATTCTATTGAGGAATGGGTCGTTCCTACAATAGGAACGACCATTCATTCCTTATGGAACGGTTGTTCCTTGTGATTTGTGAAGGTATGACTAATCATTCTTCCTTATGGAACGGTCGTTCTTTATGCTTTGTGAAGGTATGATCATCAAGGAATGATCGTTTATGAAGATTGACCATATCTTATAAAGAATGATTGTTCCTTCGAAGAACGATAGTTCAAAGTCATTTTAAGCTTGGTGTGGTGAGAGTTGAGTGATAGTGTCAACTTTGCTATTATGTTAGAATTTAAGAGAAAGTTGGGAATTGAATTGTAAATGTAGTATTTTAACTTACAAACAACCTAAAAAAATAAGGAAAACCCACCCCATTTTCTCCCGTTCACTCACTTTGCCACTGTCACTTGACACCTCACCCATTCACTTCTCATTGTCAGGCACACGCTTCACACCACTACTACGATCCAAAATCAACAAAAATCACCGCCACAAACACAAATCAACATCGTTCTCTCCTCTGAACCCCTCTATTCTATCCCTTTTTATATTACCCAAATCATTTACACTTCCATTTAATAATCGATAGACATTACTCATTTTAGGATTTAGTTTGTATTTATTTCCTATTGTTATTCTATTATGATGATGTGGAGTTAGGGATGAGGATGAAGTTGTATAGAATAATGGGGAGATGATAATTTTGTTGGCTTCTGTGGAGAAACCAAACCAATCCCGAATCTAGTGGTGAAAGTGGGAGGTGGAACGGGTTT